AACATAGAACTTACATTTCTGTACTGTGCTGCCAGGTTATTTCACATTATTCCTAGCTTTCTGCGAACATCTGTGTCCTGAACCGTCTGCTCTTAGATATATAAATTTGTCATATGACCAATGGCTAAGACTACACAAATTCTGGAGATTGAAGTTAGCAAAATTGTGTTGTTTTATGATCAGATTTCGAAGAAATGTGCCTACAAGGCAGGGTAAGTTTTGGTGATGATTACTCCTTTAATTCTCATGGCTTAGGATCACCACACAAATTTCTGGCACCATCAAAAAGCTAGTGTAGTTTTAAGTACACGCTGGATAATTCAGGAACAGGATTTTCTAAGAATGTTCAGTGCCAATATGATATACCCATGAGGTATATAACACAGGTAACACTAAAATGTATGTCTCACATTAATAAACATAAACACCTTGGCAAAGGGAAAGTGGATCAACCTAGGAACTCATGGTTTTACTTGCCCTGTTTACATCCCATCTTCTTATAATCTGGCAAATATGCTAATATTTAGAGTTTCCGTTATTAATCTAGTTTTTTAAACAACTTATTTCTAAAAAGCACTTTAGAAAAATTAAATTATTACAAATAAGGGTTGCAACCAACTTGGTGGTTTAAAACATGACAATAATCATTCAACTTGAAAGATAAAAAGTACCATGTTCAGACTATTTAACATAGCCATAGTATAGAAAAGCTGCTCTAAAATTTTTATAGGTTTTCCAACTACTGGCATGACCTATTCAACATTTTTAAACTGAAAAATAAATACCTATGTGAAATACTGATTAAAAAAAAATAAAACAAAATTTACCTTGCAATCCAAAATCAGAAATGGAGGGATCTCCTTGCCAGTGTTTGTACAAATAGTGTGCTATCCCCTAAAGACACATACTAATTTTAATTTACAAATGAACATGCAGAGAATTAAATGAGACAACTGATTGTCAACAACTAAAGTACTCAAAAATGGAACAATAACACACCTCACAACGTGAGGTAGGAAATATACCCCACTTCATTAAAATATTCACAAATATAGTGCAAACTAACCAGTCTGAAAGAAGTTATTTTCAGTATTCTGGTGTCTAATAAATAATTATAATTCCTTTAAAGCTACTAAGTGGAATGTTGGAATATAAGTTGAAAATATTGAGCTTATATAGCTTAGACTATCACATTTAAAACACTGTACACTGGATATATTTTTAATAACATGATGGTCACCATTCCATTATATATAATAGAATACAAACCTTTTTTAGTCACATAAAGGAATGTTGCTTTTATCTATCTGCTCTAAGCACAAGGAAGGTTCAATCTCTGTTGACATTAGAAATTAACGGAATTGAATTTAATCTCTACTTTGCAATCCTCCATTGTGCAAAACAATTAACCTGCTACCCAGGTAACTGTGAAAGCTGACTGATTCAAAAATTACTTTAAAATAGCTAGAAACACTGATCGAAGCCATTTCATTGGGTTTATTTTTGCATTTAAATAAATCCCCAGCAATATAATCAACTATAAAATGGCAGCATATACTGTTATGTGGCAGAAAATAGTAAGGCATAAATTAGAATAAGAAAAATGTATCTATCTTTACACCTGTGGCATAAACACCTACATTTCCAACACTTTCCCATCTATATTTATTACTCTGTACTTTTCTGGATTTAATATTTTTCTTAATGTGCTGTATTCACCAACTACTAGTCCAAAACTGGACAGGAACTACAGAAATGGAGTGTGTTACATAACACGTTTACCATGGTATATATGAGTAAAGGGTGGCAGTAGGGCATTTGATGGGAGACAGTTTTTTTTATTCTGGCTCTGCTTCTTGGTTATGTGACCTTAATTATGTCACAATCTTTTGGGGCCGCAGTTTCTTGAGAATGGATGGGGAAGGGGAGTGTTGTTAGGAGACCAGCAAGATTATCTCTAGGGTCTCTGCTAGTATAAAATTCTGTAATAAATAGGCACAGAAGAGTACTAGGAGTAGGGGGTCAGGATTTCAAATTACAACCAACCCTCCAGCCAGCTTCTAAAATGTATATTTAAAAATCTTACTTCTGCCGAAACCGGTTTGGCTCAGTGGTAGAGCATCAGTCTGCGGACTGAAAGGTCCCAGGTTCGATTCCGGTCAAGAGCATGTACATTGGTTGCGGGCACATCCCTGGTAGGGGGTGTGCAAGAGGCAGCTGGTCGATGTTTCTCTCTCATCAACGTTTCTAGCTCTCTATCTCTCTCCCTTCCTCTCTGTAAAAAATCAATAAAATATATATTTTTTTAAAATCTTACTTCTGAGTTAGCTTTTCACTTTACATTTTAGTTTGCTTTCTAGTTAACATGATTTTAATTACTGTCATAGAGAAGAGTTCCCCAATCCTTCAGCGTTTTTTTAAAATTAAATTATTATCTTTGTATATATACCATTCCCCCCCCCCCCTTCAGAGTTTTCTTAATCCAGCCTGGTATAGATGACATCAAATTGTTTTATTATAGAAAACAAGTATTTCCTCCCTAACTAGCTGTTCCACAGATAAAAGGACTTTTCCTTTTAAATGAACATTAGGAAGCATAAAATAAAAGGATGTTAAAGGATATTGCTGGCATATATTTTATCAACTATTGTATGTCCGAGACATATTTTTAATTCAATCCAATAAATAATGTAGATGAATATGAAAAACCTCTTACAAAATTTGACTTATGGTTTGTTAAACTAACTCATTCCATTTAAACTATACCTTGCACAGAACATAAATCCTGAATGCAAAGTTTGAACTAAATGAAATGTTTTTTTCATTAGGGCCAAATCACATCACTTAAAGAAACTTAAATGTTATGGCTTATGCAACATTAAAGGGTTAGGTATACATACAAAATATATACATAGACATACACATAAATGAAATCCTCTAAGTTCAAAGTTTTCAAAACCAACTTTTCAGGTATAAGATTTTTAATAAACCAAAGGGAGATCTTATATTTATTTGAGGTTTTGCTGTAATTTGATATTATTTGGTATTTTTTGTGTGCTTTAAGTAAAATCATACTAGAGTTAGGTGCCAATAAATGTACAATTTGCTGCATTAAATACAGCCTCCTAAGTCAAGTGGATATTTCTGCCATAAAAGTAACTGACCTCCAGCAATGGCTAAGATCTCTCGCCCTGGTTAAGTATAATGCTCTTTTCCTTTTATACCTAAACTTTGCTTTCCTTACTATTGTATGTTACAAATCTTTACACTTCATTTATTTTGGCTAGTTTTTAATTCATTTATCTGACATCTCTTAGTTAAATTAGAAGGGATACCTAAAATATTGTCTTTGTGATATATACATATACACACCTTATATACACACATACGTACACACACACACACACACACACACAAATCAATACATCTCTATCAACTTTTAGCTTTATCCTGGACTTTGGCAATTTCGTAGATACTAGTTCAGATTCTAGTTTTCCATTTTAATATGTGATGAAAAATGTTACAGACCACCAAATTCAAATAAGCATCTAATTGTCTTTATATAGATTACAACAGAAAATCCATTTAAGAACAAACAAAACAAACAAACAAAAAACCTCTTATAATTAAAAAAAAAAAGGAGGGGAAGAATTATAGGTATGAAAAGAATAAGAGGCATTTTTCCAGTTATTTTATTTATCAAAATCTATTATAATTTTAATTGGTAGAGGTAAATTTTAAACTTCGTTAATTATGAGAATACTTGCTTTCTATAAATTCAGTATATTTTTTCTTTCACAAAAATAAAATTAAAATGTCTAAATATACAAAGCACTAATAGTTCTGATGTATTTTGTGGAAAGATAACACATAGCAGTTCAAGTCACAATATACTGATTTTCAAAAACCAACATATTCTCTTCTATTTAATTAAGCATTAGAGCCTGAGACCCAGAAGAGGTCATAATGAAATTTTAACCAACCAAATCAGATTTTTTAAACCAATAATGCGTTTTTGTAGCATATTTACCAAATGCTACTTTACATACATTCAACATTTAGCTTACTGGCATGATTTCAAAATTTCATAAAAATGAGAAACTTTTGCAGCTATATGATTAGAAGGTACACAAATTGCATTACATCAAACACAAAGGCAGTGTGGTCCTTGTAGGAGAAATCAAGTCAGTACCCCTTCGTAGAAATGTTCTATAAAAATGTGTCACATTGAAGTGTCAGTGTTTTCAGCCAATTATCTGTCCCTGATGTATTTCCTTGGAGTATATGATATATCAGGACTTCAGGTTTCTAAATCCAAAATATCTGACTGAATTTAGGTACATCTAGAAAGCAGCTGAAAGGGTTTCTCCAAGAGTCGGACATCACAGGAAGTACTTGAGAAATCCCTCTCTTTACCTGAAGATGTACTTGTTCTACTTCAGTCATCAGCTCACAAAGAAGAAAACCAATCGAAGCTTCCCCTCACACATAAAACCCCATAAAAGCTAAACAAAGACCATCCCTCCCTCCACAAAACCCCAGCACCAAAGTGTCAGTCATTCCTGGGAAAAAGAACATGCCCCTTGGATTCTCTGATTTGTTAGTTGTTCAAACCTGAAGGACAGAAATATCCTTATGTCCTTGTGGGGAGGAGGGAAGACATGTTAATAATGACTATTGAGCCATTGAGAAAGTGCATTATCAATTATTACACAATCAACTGCCCTCTAATGGAAGTGGTCACACTTGATTCAAATGCCTCAATAACTAAACATTCGTATTCTCGAGATAAAGGAGATGGGAGAAAAAGAGACACTCATTTTAATAAAAAAGTGCAGAGTCTACACTTTTCCCCATGCTTCTCAAGAAAATGATTGCACAGACTCAGAGAAGTCCAAAGTCATAGCAGAATCTCTGAGGCACTCCTGGTTAAGAGAGAGAAAAAAAATATGACCCAGTATTCATAGTTTATAGATTATGAGAACAAACCCGTTTTTTTGTGTGTGTGTTTTTAAAAGAAAGCCAAAGAGTCATTTCATAGGGATCATATACACCATTTCCTCTAGCATATCCTCAGTCTCACAGTGTTGAAATGGGACCGATCAGCCTACGACGGATTGCACATCACCCAAGGAGAAAGGAGGGCATGGAAAATGCAAACATTTTATACTGCTTCACAAACACATTCACAAGGAATAGGTGAAGAGAAGATATAGGAAGGAGAAAGAAAACATTATTGCTGTTTCCATACAAAATACAGTATGAACATACCTAAACTAAATCAACTCTGATTACGATGACCAATATTTTCACAACGTGGGACGAAGTTGCTTCTTGCACAATGAAATGTTCAGTTTAAAAGGTAAGCAGAAAGATGGAGAGAGGATGTCAAATCTACACCTGGGATATTAGCTGCATATTGAAACTTGGGGATCGAGACTGCTTGGTTAAGGGGGCGCCAGGGCTGAGCAGCTCTTTACCTTCTCCAGCTTGACCTAGCCGGTCTTCCTGCAGACTGATAGTCGAGTATCGATTAGCATTGCTAGTTGCTAAATTAGTAACTCCCTCAGCGCCAACCCCAAAGCTGGTACTTGCTTGACTCCCGTTTACATAGTCAAATGATTTACTTGAGGAAGCACTGGCTGTCCGGATTAGACTTATGCTATTGGTTTTTGGCACCACCTGGCCAGCAGGCAGACTCAGGTGTTTCTTCATCGGTGTCAGCTCAATCGAATCTGCACTAAGATCAGGAGGTTGCTGTACATACTGCCTGCGAACTACTGAATCTCGGGGGCTTTCACTGGATTTGATGGGAGAAGTGGTTTCTTTTTCCTTGACTGAACGCCCAGTTGCTACTTTCCTTAAGCTTCCCCTCTGAGAGGAGGAGGATGGTTTGGTCCCAACTGGCTGATTGCTGAGGGAAGCCCCTGATGAAAATCCTTCATCTGCATCATTTAGGTTTACCGACTCTTCTTCTCCGTTTACCCCCTCAGCGCCTAAAAAACAAATCAGAAAGACTCAGCAATAGCCAAATTAAATAAGAAGTAGCTATGAATAACAACTGGACTGACTTTATCTCTTGGGTAATGTTTGATACAGGTTGGCAATGGTTTTGTTATCAACACTTCCCCTAAATAATTTAAGGGAAGAAACCTTAATCTACACAGAATTCTAATGTTATTCAGTTTATTTAGCTTTAATAGTCCAACTTTTGTAAAATTATCCACAAATTAACTTAGTATACTATCAGAATTTAGGATTATAAAACAATTTTAGGTAAAATACAACATTTTGTTATCATAAGTCTTTATTATACATCCTTATCAACTTGAGGTGATCATATCTATTTAAATAAATAAAATTTTTCCTATCTTCCTTAACCCACCATAAATAGACCCCTTTCTAATTCTAGTCAACCAGAATAATGCCAAAAATATTTATCTGTAAAAAGCCAAACCCTTTTTAGCTACAATAAAAATGTATATTTCTTCAACAGTTCACTGCTTCTAAATTGCTTAGCCTTTATGATGGAAGTAGTAAATTTTCTAATTCTAAGAAAAACTTTACATTGCTCCAATTGTATTCCTTACGTATTTTGTCTTATGGACACATTTAATCACTGGTTTCCATATTATCTTGATCAATTAATGTGAAGAAAATACTTGATTATCAGAGGGCAAGCTAGGGAACCAGCAGGAATATTTTAAAAGGATTTTTATTTCCTATATTATGTATTTCTGTACAATTTTAAATTTTTAGTTTGAGACATATATGTTCGTAATCACAAAATACTATAATGCCCGATTGTGTTTCATGCAGAAACTGCGGTTAACAAAAGAATCCTTTTCTTTGGATTTTGTAAGAAGGGAAGAAACATATAAATTTAGCTTGGGGTTTCCAGAAAGCCCACTGTCTTACTAAAAGTATGAAAAACATTCTCTTAGAAAATAATACACTTGCTTCTTTAAAAATTGATAATGGCTTGCTACATCATTAAGTATGTTTACCAGATTTTGAGAACTTTAACCTGAATCTACATGCAGATAGCAACATTATCGTTAAGGTAAAATGTTAGGAAGGAAATCTAGACCAATATTACTTTGTGATAGGGTTACCTAAGTAAACTATATATGAAGCATTTAAACACAATCTTTATTTAACATAGCACCTGAAAAAATATTTTCTTAGTTATATTTTCTCATAGGGATTAGTTATTTCCTTCCTTCAAAAGAAGAATGAAATAAGCTTTCCTTAAAGCATAAAGCACCTTGTTGTTTTTATCCAGCAGTTTAATAATCTTTAATCATCATGCAAAGCCATATGAAAATGCAGCTGACACCACTTCTCTCAACCCCTTGTTCAAAAGAATAGAATATAATGTAGTACCTCAAATAAAAAACTTTAAATTATATGCCCATGATATCATCTTAGCAATTTCCTTCAGTTAGTATAAACAATTCCAAAATGCCCAAGAAGGATTACTGGTTTAGAATTGATATCAGTAATATAAAACAGGAATGAACAGAAATGTATTATTGGAGATATATATATACACACATACACATATATATATATATAAAACTAGGAAAGGAGATTGAGAGACTTAGTTCTAGCTTCTGAATCTTGCCACATGCAGATCTGGTGCCCAAGCAATATGGCCATAAAAGAGATGAAGATAATGTAAAAGCCACCATGCAAGAGAACCTACTGATGTTTTATATACTAAAAATACTGTTTCAGTATAGTGGAACAATGACTATGCTTTAATCACAGGCATCCTCAATTTAGTAATAATTTTAAATCCAGCTTTAAAAATCACAAAACATTACCTGACAATCAGAATAAAGGTAAGTAATGGGCTCACAGTCTCAATTTCAACATACAATAAATACAGTTTTAATTGTAAAACTATTTAAAACCACATACCAAAAAGAAGTTGTTTTTTTGTTTTTGTTTTTTAAAGGTCAATTACCAATGTTTATCCAAAAGCTCCAGCAGACTTCAGGATTACCAGAATTTTACATAGGTTCTGGTAATTTCCTTCCTTCAGTTTTAAAAAAATCTGGAACAAAAGGTTAACTGTGTGGTGCTCTCCCTCTCCTGGGCTCGCCTGCATCTTTCCATTCCCTCTTCTTTGTCCCCAGTCCCATTACCTTTACCCTTCTCTCTCCTAAGCTCCTAGGGCCTTTTCTTCCACCTTTGTAGCTTATTTCCTGAGCCCATTTCTTCTACTGCTCATTTCTTCCACCTCTGTGATTCTCTAAATAATGTTACTTACATATATAAAGTAACTATGCCTTAGAACATATTTCCTTTCTAATATTCTCCCTGGGTGATAACAAAACTATTGATGATCCAAAGAAGAAACAAGCAAAAAAGAATTTTTTAACCAAAAAGGATTTTTAACAAACTTTTCCATTATGTCTGCCTTTCCTTATAAATTTAGCTTCTACTAATACTGATTTAAAACTACAATTTAATCTAGATTAAAAGACAAAATAACTTTTGAGAAATTTCAAACACACTGAAATTTCAGACTCAATGAGAATGGCTATACTCCAGCCTCACAAACTGAAATTTTCTACTAGTGATACTATTTTTGGTTCCTTTTTCGAAGTGTCTGATCAATTAGAAAAAATGTTTCAACCTTATCCCACACTTTCTAGAATATTATCAAGTGTTCACATAGTCCAACTACATTTAGCACAAATACTCCAACCCTCTAACAATGGTAGGAGCTGCACACCAAGTGGCTCCTTTAGTCATCTAAAATGTTAAGAAACACCTGACACCTATATAATGTTAATAACCAATGTCATCCCAATAAACTCAATTAAAAAAGGAAAACAAAAAGGAATGTTAAGAAATAGGATGTTGTCCCAGTTAAATCAACTTTGGATTCAACATCTATTCACATATTTATTATTATGCCTTTATTCAAGGATAAAAGACTCAGAAAAAAGGAAAAGGGAAGGCTGCATTTCTCACAGGATCTCTGTAAAACAGCACCAATTCTTTAGGTCCCTAGATCATGCACATGCAACACCAGTCAAGAAAGTAAGGTTAATCTGGGCAAATGGACAGAGGGTAGATTTAAATTCTTACTGAGCATGCTCAAATTTTTAATGCACCAAAGAGCAAGAGACTTCCTTAAGGTGGAAATAACTGCTTCATGTATGTTTGGTCTTTAAAATAAGTAAAAATATGTAACCTATTTTAAAACTACTTGCTACATTTCATAAATTAAATCAATGTAAAGGCACCACAGTAGCAATTCATTAAATAATGAAAAAATGATTAGGCTAACAGTTCCCTCACTCACAAAGCCAACTCCTATGGCATCACAGGAAAGCAGCAAATAAACACTTTCCTCTCAGGGGAAAGTGTTCTTTCCCAGGTGGTGGTGGTGGTGGTGGTGGTGGTGGTGGTGGTGGTGGTGGTGCTGGGGCAATGGGGATTTTTGGAAGATGGGGGATGATTCTCATTTTGAGATACCTACATTGTAGAAACAACATCTACAGGATACCTGACCTCTAAATAATACATTTTAACTCTATTTTAGCGGTACATAAGATAATCATTATTTACAACAAATGATAAAATGTAGCATGCACCAGGGAAGGACATTAATAGAGGAAAGATGTCAGTAGTTCACTGGTTAGACCCAGGCAACTTGACCTGAAGATTATAAAAAGCCAATCAATACCAGTTTACTCTATTAAAGATCTAAAAAATTTGTATTAATTGGCTACCCTGGGATTAGAGATAAAATTGCCGGCTCCACTTTAGTCCAATTTCTTAAAGATAATATATTAATGTTTTAAAATTCTCCACACATATTCTTTAAAAAATAAATTATTATATGAATTAAATAAACTCACATTGACTAATAAGGTTCATGTCCATTGTGTGCATTTTCCCTCTCCTAATGTTAGAATAAACATGCTCAGTAATGAGAAATTCCAAGCATTTGCAGACCTTTGAAAATAGGTCTCTGCCTTGTTAGTAGCCATGCCAAGCTGTTCTTGGATTACACAGGGATGCAGATTCCAGGCCAGCACAAATGGTAACTAAAGATTATACTTGACCTAAAACTAGGCATATAGGGGTTTTGTTTTGCAAGGAGGAGCTAATATACTCTAAGGTAGTGGAAACACATACTAGAATGGAAAAATGTTCTGCTTGGGGTTAGAGAGCCAGGATCCTTCTCCAGAAACTGCCTCACTGACTTCTGTCTCCTCATCTCTGTCCTACCCTCTGTTGTGGCAGCTGCTGAGTTGGGCTCCGGTGAGCCGTGCTCAGGGGTCCTGCGTACCAGCACCTCCCCCTCTTGCACACGTTTGATCCCTACGTCAGTGGAGCCGTGTTGGATCGGGGAGCCAGGAATACTCGAGTCAGCCTCGTTTGAGAAGTCAAAGCCATCTGGGATTCAACATATAACATTTTAGTGCTTTTTGTGCTCCTCTATTCTTTCTGAGCATTTTGACCCAGGCAGATAAGAGAATGTATAAATGGATATGATATAAACACAAACACTATTTATATAGTTACATGTGTGTGCACAGCATACACACACATAAGGCAGCAGATGAACAATGTGAGGTTTGCAAATGAATAGGATAGAAAAATAGGAATCATTAAAATGGCAGTTTATTTCTCTTAGACAAGACATCTTGACTATTCAAGTATCATATGACTATAAAATACTGCTGTATTCAGCACTTATTAAAAAGGAAAAGCAGTTAAAAGTCTAAAAAACAATAATCATTCCTTTTATGGATAGCTTGCATTACACCATTAGTTTGGCCAGTTATAATTTCCTCCCACAATGCTCATACATGCACCTTCCCCCCCCAATTTGGTAAGAAGCTTAAAGAAACTATTTCCTATTGTTATTACTAGTTCAAAAAAAGATAAAAATTAACTTGATCTTATTTTCTTTTTCAACATTCATAAGGAATTCTAAACAACATCTATTTTATTAAAATAAATACATTTAAGTATGTAAACCATTTTAGTACTACTTTTAGAAACTAAACCATTTTACTTTAATTATAGAGTACTATAATATCATGTGCTAATATAGTCTATTGAAACAGTGATAGATTTAACTGAATCCATGAGTGAGCTATAGGGATTTTGTCCTCACCTTCTCTCCTCCATCTATGGCGACGAATGGAAGCTGTGGTAATTGCAGTCCGAGAAATCCTCGGCACTGTTGGAGTGACTTCCACTTTAAGTACTTTCTGGCCTTCTTGTGAAGAATCAGGAGCATCGAATGGTAATGAATTTTTCATTGCATTAGCAACCTAAAATGATAATGTAAGTCTAGACATATTTACAACCTATATACAATTTATACTTAGTCTACACTTACTCATTTCCATAATTTCTGAATATGTATTTAAAATGCATACTATAAAATAAAGGAAAATTGTTTAGTATTTAAATCCTGACATAAGAAAAATTAGAGTAAGTTTCTGATCTTTGAAGTAGTAAATAACATGCAAAATTAATCTCTGATTAAAATAATTAGCCTTTTCTCCACTCCTCTGTTTCATAAGAAATTTTCCCAACATGTTTGATATTTTGCCCCAACATTTTTTTTAATGTATTTTATTGATTTTTTACAGAGCAGAAGGGAGGGATATAGAGTGTTAGAAACATTGATGAGAGAAAAACATCTATCAGCTGCTTCTTGCACACCCCCTACTAGGGATGTACTTGCAACCAAGGTACATGCCCTTGATCGGAATCCAACCTGAGACTTTTCAATCTACAGGCTGACACTATCCACTGAACCAAACTGTTTTTGGCTGTCCCAACGCTTTCTGCCCTCCATAGAGGAGAGTAAAATATATGGCTCAAGAGTAATTGCCATTGATGGATGTTTCTTTTAGAGAGCCAGGATTCTTCTCCTGCAACAGCCTCACTGACTTCTTTTGATTTATATTGACTTTTTTTTTTTTTTGGGGGGGGGGGGTCTGTTTTCATTAATTTTTAGAGAGAGAGACTGGGAATCAAACCTGAAACCTTTTGGTGTACGGGACGATGCTCCAAACAACTGAGCCACCCAGCCAGGGTGAATGTTTACATTTGTCTTTAGGTTAATCATTTACCTTTTGGAGATATATTTATTTCGTGGCAAAGTATAAAATCTTTTCACATAAACAAAATATTAAATGGCTTTCTTGTTCTGCTTGTTGAAAATACTTCCTTTTCACTTTGTGCAAAGCATATTAATTTTGTTTTTCAGATACTTATAGTTTAGCAATTTTGTTTTTTAAAATATGTTTTTTCAGAAAGAAGGGAGAGGAAGAGATAGAAACATCAATGATGAGAGAAAATCATTGATTGGCTATCTCCTGCACTCTCCCATTACTGGGGATTGAGCCTGACCAGGAATCAAACCAGGACCTTCTGTTCATGGGTTGATGCTCAACCACTAAGCCACACCAGCTGGAAGACACTGATGGTTTAGAATTTAGATGTTTAGGTGGTCAAAAAAATCATCAACTATTTTTTAGTGATTTGTCATATCATTTAAGTTTAGAAAGTCCTTCCTGCAGAAATTTGAGTATTTATAATCTTTCCCTCTCTCTTTTCTTAAAGGGCTTCAAAATATTTCAATTCTTTAAACTTTATTTGAATTGTATTTTGATACAAGGTAGGAGAAGAAGGTCTAAACAAATTTTGTTTTCTTTCCAAGTTAACCATCTGCTATTATGGAATAAATCCTTTTCCTCAATGATTTGGAATGCATCAGATTTTGCATACTAATTTCTTATATCCTCGACAAGTACAGGTATGTTTAATAAAAAGTAAATATTTTCACTTACCAATAATGGTTGAGAAAAGAGTTCTAGCTGAGCTCTATAAATAATGTCATCAAGAACTTCCTGGCCAAGGTCCCACTGTCCATTATACCTAAGGAGAAGCAGATAGTTTACTATCTTTAGCAAATATCTTTAATATTCAACCACAACCTTTTTATTGTTCCAAGTCCTACTATTTTGATTCTTCAACAAGATTTTCACATCAATTTTTTCATTGTTCCATTTCTAAACGATCCCACTTTTGGTTACAAGAACAAAATAAAGATTTCAGATATTAAAGTTTAGAATTGTTTATAGATGTCTCTTCACATAAATTGTTTTTTATCATGTATTGATATTTAGGTTAACCTATTTAATGCATTCATGAAAGCCTGTGTTATAAACTATATGAAGAAACAGTTTTCCATTATGTTCATAGCAGTGTTATTTATAATAGAAATCTAGAAACTCATTGCTAATACTGATGAGGTAAAAGGATTGTACTGCCTATAGTTTCTTCTAGGAGTTTTATGGTTTTAGGAAACATATTCAACTCTTTAATCCATTTTAAGTTGACATTTGTGTAAGGCATAAGAAAGTGGTTCAGTTTCATCCTTTCGCATCTGGCTGTTCAGTTTTCCCAGCACCATTTACTGAAGAGACTATTCTTTCCCTATTATCTAATTGAACATTGGTAATAGTATAAGTCTTAAAAGTTCTCATCTAAAGAAGAAAATTTGTAACTATGTATGGTAATGAATGTTAAGTAAACGTACTGTGGTAGTCATTTCATAATATAAAATGTCTAATTATTATACTGTAGACCTAAAACTAAAACCTTATTTGTGAATTATATATCAATAAAAATTGAATTCAATAATTATATTGTTTTCAAGTTTAAAATGTAAATTAATTTTAAAAAGTACTAAGAAGAGTTCATATTAAAAAAACAAGATAATTGGTCCATCATGAAACAAAAGATTTAGTGTTGTGGATAAAGAAAAAAAAAAGAGAAAATTTCATTTCCCAAACATTGGGAAAAATTCACCCAATTTCAGACCATCTACTTACATGGCATAATAAACGCCGGTGAGAAGTTGCACCATAAATTCGGGATCCAATACTATTCGACCACAGAGTTCTTTCCAGTGTTTTTCATGTTGCCGTGGAAACCCACTCACACAAACCCTAAAAAATACAGTATTTATCAAGAGTGGTTTCTGGTTTCATTGAATCAAATATTTTGCTTTTACAAATTCATTTATTCAGTTATTTGTTGCTCAAACACTTATTAAATACAGTCACTACTTACCAGTCACTGTCCTGAGCATACGTATATAGTTGTGAACAGGTAAAAATAAAAATAAAACCTGTGCCATCATAAAACATACAACCTAGTGGACTATATTGATAAAAAGCAACTTTACTCAAATAGCCAGGTCTTTCAAATTCATCCTTCTCTCTCTTTACAAAATAAATGCATAACTTTCTCATATTCCAAATTTTATCAGGATGAATTAGTGAGAGATACAGAAATCTCAAAGCAAATAAGGGACATTTCAAACCACTGATGTCTGCAAGACCATTTTTAATCAAAATATCATAAACGATCCTCTACCTTCCATCTCCTTTGAAGATGCTTCCAGAAAATGATGCTTAATAATTGTAAAAAATTATAATGTACCGCCCTAACAGGTTTGGCTCTGTGGATAGAGAATCGGCCTGTGGACTGAAAGGTCCCAGGTTTGATTCCAGTCAAGGGCATGTACCCAGTGGGAGGCGTGCAGGAGGCAGTTGATCGATGTTTCTCTCTCATCAATGTTTCTAACTCTCTATCCCTCTCCCTTCCTCTCTGTAAAAAAAAAATCAAAAAAATATATATACATTTTAGAAAAATTAAAAAAATGTAATGTACCTATTTTCTTTTAATGAATTAATTTATTGAATAACTATCATGGTGAATTAAGAGAAATATTTTCATTTTTAGTATATCACAGTATCAGGAAATTTTTTCAAATTTTAGTTTACATATACATATTTTTGTAGCAGAGACATATAATTAGGTGATCAATAATACACTTTAAAATATAAAATAGCATTATATTAGTAAAAAGTATATGGGTAAAATATAATGAAATTCAATTTTACAAAGAAAAATGAAAAATACAGGTTGGGGCAAAAGTAGGTTTACAGTTGCTTCTATGGAAAATAATAATCTTATCTAATAAAGAGGAAATATGTTAATTGATTCTCATACCGTTGCAAAGATGATGGCACCCACAGCCAATGAGGGAATATGCTAATTTACTGCCATACCCTCAAACATGGCAGAGTTCACAGCCACAAGATGGCGCCACCCAGTCCCCTCAGCCCCACCAGGGCACCTGCCTCCAGAGTCCCCCAGTCCCCTCAGCCCCCCAGCTGCCCAGAGCCAGTCCAATGCACAGGCAAGCTTCAGATGGCAGCTACCCAGCCACCCAGGACTGGCCTGAGGCACAGGTAAGCCTCGGATAGCAGCTGCCCAGTCGCTCAGAGACACCCGAGGCTCTGGTAACCAGGGCTGCCCAAGGCTTACACTGCCGGCAGTGGCAGCCGCAGAGGTGTGATGGGGCATTGAACTTCCCCTGATCATGAGGTCACCTCCTGCCCCTGAGGGCTCCTGGATTATGAGAAGGGACAGGCCGGGCTAAGGGACCCCCCCCCCCGCCCCCTCCAGTGCATGAATTTTCATGTTAATAAATAATAGTACAAGAATAAACTATATTTCACAAACTCACAACTGTAAACTACTTTTGCCTCACCCTGCATAATGTCAAACTATTAAAGAAAAGCTTGTTCATTTATTCCTCAAATGGGTGATGGTGGGTATCAGATCACTGCATTATTTACATTATATATATTTAAAACACTGACTAGCCTATGAACCATAGATTTTCAGTTTTAAAAGATGGCTTAGCCCTGGCCATTTGGCTCAGTGGATAGAACGTTGGCCTGTGGACTCAAGGGACTAGGTTCAATTCCAGTCAAGGACATGTACCTTGGTTTGTGGGCACATACCCAGTAGGGAGTGAGCAAGAGGCAGCTGATCAATGTTTCTCTCTCATCGATGTTTCTAACTCTTTCTCCCTCTCCCTTCCTCTCTGTAAAAAATCAATAATATATATATATATATTTTTTTTAAAAAGATGGCTCAGTAGTTGAGCATCAACCTACGAACCAGAGATCATCGTTCAATCCAGGTCAGGCGCATGCCTGAATTGTGGACTCAATCCCTAGTAGGCAACTTGCAGGAGGCAGCCAATCAATAATTCTCATCATTGATGTTTCTATCTCTCTCTCCCTTTTTCTTCCTCTTGAAATCAATAAAAATATATTTTTTAAAAATTGATCCAACATTTATTTGTCTTATTATGTCAATATGGGTGAGACCTGTGATCTGTTACTAAAAATAATATCATTTGCTATTATTTAAGATAGAATGAAAAATTATAAATATTAACTTTAAAAAAAACAAAAGTCATTTATAAGTAAACTAGAGGCTCAGTGCATGAAATTCATATACGGGTAGGGTCCTTAGTGACTGCTGGCTGCCAGCTGTGGTCTCCCTTCTCCCCAGATCGCCCCCTGGTGGTCATTGCACATCTAACTCCCAGCCAAACTCCTGCCCATGGGGACAATTTGCATATTAGCCTTTTATTATATAGTACATATAGGATTTTTATCTGTAGATAGGCAATAAGTGTTTAAACAGTGTATTCTCTTGACAACAGTATCTAGGTTAGAGACAAGAACTTTGTTAGTCATTAATTATGTTATTACAGGTAAATGAAAATAACAAACTTATTTTAAGATCATCTATTAAATCAGACTTACAACTAATCTAGATTGGTCTCCCTCTTTTTGAGTGTGGGTGAGACCTGTGATCTGTTTCTAATCAACAGAAAGTGGCAAAGGTAATGGGATTTCCATGATTGTGTTGTTTAGAATGTAGTGCAGGTCTCCTTTCACTCTTCTCCTTTGAAGAAGTAAGCTGTCATGTTAAAGGCAGACTATGTTGAGAGGCCCACAGGGCAAGGAACTAAGACTGGTCCTTGGCAAGGAACTAACAAGAAACTGAAGCCCTCAGTCCTACAACTACAGACACTAAATTCTGCCAACAAAAGTATATAACTCCTCATCCGAGCTTCAGATAAGACTGCAAATCCAGACAACATCTTAACTGCAGCTTAGTAAGACCCTAAGCAAAGGACCCAGCTATGTCATGCCTAGACTCCTGACACACTGAAACTACACAATAAACGTGTGCTGTTTTCAGTGCTAAGTTTGTGGTAATTTGTTATTAGGCAACAGAAAACTAATATAGCATTTAACCCCTTTGGGAGACTCAGTTTCCTCAAGTAAAAATCAGTTGAGCCATGGCTGGGTATCTCAGATGGTTAGAATGTCGTCCCAATACACCAAGGTTGTAGGTTCAATCTCCGGTCAGATAACAGACAAGAAACAACTAATGAATGCATAAATAAGTAGAACAATAATTAGATCTTTCTCTCTTTCCCCTCCTCCCTCCCTCGACACCCCACTCTTTTTATAAAAATAAATAAATAAATAAATAAATAAATAAATAAATAAATAAGAAAAAAATCATTGAACAGGATGAACTCCTGGTTCCCTCTCTAGCTGAAATTCTGTGACTCTAAATGCCCTCCATCTCCAAACTGATTTATATTACTTAAATTTTCTTCCTATAGTAAATATTTAAATTTCAGCCCAGGTGTGTCCAAATTATTAGAAATTCTGATTTAGTAAAGATTAAAGAACACAAATATAAGTGAGGCACATAATTGATACTATTGCTAATTTTCTTATACAAAGCAGAGATAATTTGTGAAACATATAAAGAAAAGGGTTCACATTCCTTAAGACTTTCTTCACCTATGGGACTATTTATTCAAAGCTCTCAAAGTGATTAGGTCTACCAATAAACCACCCTAAAATTAAGACATCTTTGGTTTACTTGATGTTCGGATAAAAAATATTTTTTTGATGCTGAAATATTTCAAGAAGTCAAGATGCTTGAGAGATAAGGATTCCTACAAGAATATAAGTCCATGAGTTTTATTTACTGTTTATCTTAAGTTAAAATAGTACCTACCATAAAGAATATGCTCAGTAAATATTTGTCAAATATGAAGGTTAATAATAATTATTATTCTCACCTGGAGCCCATCCGACAAAGAGATTGATAAGATGAAGCAGGCATATACACAATAGCAGAATTATAACACAACATAAGAAAACTCAGGACTTCAAACCTACAAAAAAACAAAAAGGAGTGAAAGGATTATAAGCAATCACTTCTACTAGACCCTGTGGTAACGATTTCTTCATTAGATGGTTATAACAATGTCTTAACATTACTTGCGTGATTTCTCAATCAGATTACTATACTCTCTTCATCAATGTTCTCCATGTCCATTCTTAATATAGATGACTCCCCTATCTACATTAACCCACTGCTCCTACTGACTGTGTGATAAAACCCAAACTCATCATGGCACACAAGGTCCTTTAAAATCCACCCTCACCCGTCCTCTCTACCCTTACCCTACCTCCACTGCCTACCACATACACTACACTACAATCAATATTCTCACCACTCCCTGAATATGCCATAACCTTTCATATCAACTTGCTTTTATACATACTGATCTTTCTTACTAGAATATCCTTAGAAAACTCGTGCTAAAGATTCAAGTCCCAGCTCAAATTTTTACCTCAGACATAAAGCTGGTCTTAATTCTCCCAACTGAAGGAAACTGTTCCCTTATCTGTGTAGCTCTAATATAGCCTTTATCCCACTGAATCATCATTCTCCATCTTTTCTCTATTTTACCCATTTGGTAATAACTTTAGACCCTGATATATTCATCTCTACCTCTAGTATCCAACACATTGATATATAATAAATATTTATTAAAGGGATAAAGAATGCTTTCCTAATCTTTACAATGTCAAAGATAGTGGCTCCTAAACCTGGAGCAGATTATAGTTATTTAAGGACCTTTTGAAAAAATGTATTTCTTTTTTTTTTTTTTTAAAGGTGAAAGGTTTGGGCAACACTCTTTCTTTCTTTCTTTTAAAATATATTTTATTGAATTTTTACAGAGAAGAAGAGAGAGGGATAGAGAGTTAGAAACATTGATGCGAGAGAATCATCGACCAGCTGCCTCTTGCACACTCCCTACTGGGGATGTGTCCGCAACCAAGGTACATGCCCTTGACCAGAATCGAACCCGGGACCTTTGAGTCCGCAGGCCGACGCTCTATCCACTGAGCCAAACTGGTCTCGGCTGAAAAAATGTATTTCTGAATGTCAACCTAGATAGCCAACAAGTCTCTGGGGCTGGATCCAAAGGAATTTGTACTTCTAAAAAGCTTCCTATAGATGGTGAAATTCTTTGTACCATTTTACAACATTTTTTGTAAGTCTGAAATTATTTCAAAATGAAAAGCTAAAAATTGAGTTGTAAGTCTGACTCGGAAGCAGTCAAACGTTCAGATCTTTTCTTCTCTATGTTGATTAGTTTATTGAAGATTTCTTTTCTGAAATTTAAGACTGCTTTCCTCCAGAAAAAGGATATTTCTACCAAGGAACCACCAGGCACAACTGTGGTTTAGGGTGGGGATTGGAGGGGGAAGACACCATACTGAACACAGGAATATTAAGTGAAACAAACCTTACTGGAAATCAAGACTTCAAGCTCTTCTTCCCCACTTGACCACCAGAATGCTAGCAGCCAGCCCTCTATTTACAGATTAGATTTTTCTCTAGGGAACCTGATCCTAAGAAGAAAGATTTAAAGATATGAACTTAGAAAATTTCCCAACTGAATAGCTCAGTGAGAAGTTGTGAAGTTCATGGTCACAACTTGAAGTTTGTGGTTAAAGCTTCTCAATTTTTTATTCTCCTACTCTTAAATATATGAGAGAGAGAAGACATTTGAGGTATATCACTAACAAAAAATGAGACCAAAATAAAAAACAGAAAAGCACAATTTAAAAGAAACAGAAGCCGAAACCGGTTTGGCTCAGTGGATAGAGAGTCGGTCTGTGGACTGAAAGGTCCCAGGTTCGATTCCGGTCAAGGGCATGTACCTTGGTTGCGGGCATATCCCCAGTAGGGGGTGTGCAAGAGGCAGCTGATCGATGACTCTCTCTCATCGATGTTTCTAACACTCTATCTCTCTCCCTTCCTCTCTGTACAAAACCAATAAAATATATTTTAAAATAAATAAATAAAAATAAAAGCCGAAACCGGTTTGGCTCAGTGGATAGAGCGTCGGTCTGCGGACTGAAAGGTCCCAGGTTCAATTCCAGTCAAGGGCATGTACATTGGTTGCGGGCACATCCCTGATTGGGGGTGTGCAGGAGGCAGCTGGTCGATGTATCTATCTCATCGATGTTTCCAACTCTCTATCCCTCTCCCTTCCTCTCTGTGAAAAATCAATAAAATATTAAAAAAATAATAATAATAAAAATAAAAAATAAAAGAAAATAAAAAATAAAAGAAACAGAAAATACAAAAAGGGAAAAAAAAGCAACAACTCTGAATAAGGCAAATTATCATTAATATTCTCAAAAATATAAAAGATGTTTCAAAAAATCTCCAAACGCCTTAACCGTTTTGGCTCAGTGGATAGAGTGTCAGCCTGTGGACTGAAAGGTCCCAGGTTTGATTCCAGTCAAGGGCATGTACCTTGGTTGCGGGCACATCCCCAGTAGGGGGTGTGCAGGAGGCAGCTGATCAATGTTTCTCTCTCATCGATGTTTCTAAGTCTCTATCCCTCTCTCTCTTCCTCTCTATAAAAAAATATCAATAAAACATATATTTTTTTAAAATCTCCAAACACACCAATTAAACAAAATCAGTATTTTAAAGACCATTCAGAAAGCAAGAAAAACTTTTAGATATACAAAATATAACTGCAAAAATTAAAAACTAAAAAAAAAAAAAAAAAAGACTGACAAATGAAGCTAAGGATATAAGTAAAAGAAAGAAAAGCAAAAGAAAAGAGATATGACCAACAAGAGAGAAAGACCACTCCAGGACAATTATTGCTGTCCACAGTTTTTACCATTACCGGTTTTGTGCAGTGAATGTTTCCCTCTGAGGATGAAGATCACTATAAACAACCCTGATGAGGTCATGCTGACACAATGCTCCTTCAGTCAAAGCCATGGATCCAATTGTTGAGGGCTAAAAATATAAAGAAAGTATGAGTGTGTTTCTAAAATGAAGTAAAAAATCTGTATCACATGAAGACATTTGTTTCAAAAAAGGACAGTTTCAAACCATTTCTTCTCTTTCAAAACCCATTCCATTTTTCAATGATATATATTCTATGGCTCTTTTTGAAAATTATATATATAAAAAAATAAAAAAAGTTGCTGAAAAGACTAAACATTATAAATATGTACATTTCAATTTATACTCTACAACATGAGCAGTTTTGGGGACTGTACATTCATACTGTGAATTTTTTCTATAACTTCAGGTAGGTAAGTATTCTCATTAATCCCATTCTACAATGGAGACAATAGGTATAGAGCACTATAATTATAAAACACAAATAATATTGAAGGCTATGATCAAATGTCTCTTTAGCCGAAACCAGATTGGCTCAGTGGATAGAGCGTCGTCAGCCTGCGGACTAAAAGGTCCCAGATTCAATTCGGGTCAAGGGCATGTACCTTAGTTGTGGGCACATCCCCAGTAGGGGGTGTGCAAGAGACAGCTGATAAATGATTCTCTCTCATCGGTGTTTCTCTCTATCCATCTCTCTTCCTCTTTGTAAAAAAATCAATAAAATGTATAAAAAAATGTCTCTTTAATAGTGAGATAATTGACTTCATGTTTCTATAGTTAGAACCATCCATTCATAAATGGTTCACTATCCTCCATTTCATAATGATTCACAGAACTTAATTAAAATTAAGTTACTCAGAAATATTCTATGCTCAAATGAGTCCTGGGCTAAATAGCAGGCATTCTATTTCCAACACAAAACAAAGTCCCAGAGGATATCATTAAGTGGGGGGAAAAAGAGCTATGAGACAACAGGATACTGAGTGTTGATTAAAAAAAAAAAATGGAATATAATTTTTAGACTACTGGTAAAGCTTCTTTAAATGTTTTCCTCATGACTTTATGCACTAAAAGCCACCTGAGGTCAGAAACTTGATTCAGAACACATATCCTTAAAGGGAGGAGGCAGAAGGAATTCAGCTCAATAAAAGCATTGTTCTCACATTGTCCAACCAAATAAATATATGTAAAAATCAGAAGTGGAATGTTAGTGAACAGCTGGAATGCATCAACTAGAATTTTTTGAATGGAAATATAATCATTACAGCAGTAAGATTCTTTTAAGTAGCCATTTTCCTAAAAAATAATACTCCCCCCAAAATAAATAAATAAAAACAAAACCCAATCAAATATAGATGATTTCTAATTACTATTGAAGATTTTAAAAATTTAAAGACTAAGGTATATCAACTTTAATTGAAAAATAAAAATGATTTAAAGAATATTTTTTAAAACTCATAAAACACTAATAAAAAAGATTAAAAATGATACTGGTGAAGAATACTGGTGAAAAAAGAAAGAAACAAGAACTAGAGGAAAATTACCCATTAATTACTTTCTGCCTCTCTTGACAACAGCTCAACTTTATATCACTAACTAGAGGCCTGGTTTCATGCACCCATGGGGTCCTTCACCTGGCCTGCGGGGATCGAGCCGAAACCAGCTCTCCGAAATCCCCCAAGGGGTCCTGGATTGCGAGAAGGCAGTTCTCGGGTGATGCACCCTGCAATCGGGCTCCCTCCTCTCTGCACCCAAGAACCACCGCTGCCAACTCACCACAGCTTGGCAGCTCCTACATTGAGCATCTGCCCCTTGGGGGTCAGTGTGCATCACTGCTACCAGTCAGACAGTCTCTTAGCCTTTAAATGTATAGATAACAAACATCTACTTTTAATAAGTAAATCAATAAAGATGTGTTAGGAATATTTACCTCTGGTAAGAAGCTGACTTTTTATCTTTATTCAGTATACTTTTAAATAATCATACCTTTCCAATCTTACTTACCTCATGGTATATTGAAGGCTTAGATAAAGAAGGGATAGTAAAAGACAGAACTTTATTGTTTCCATCTTTATCAGCAATTTCCTAGTTAAAAAACAAACAAAAATAATGAAATAATCCAAGGATTACTAGAAATAATAATTACTTTCTTAATTTACCAAACATATCATTGGTAACTGAGGAAGATGTTTAGAAATAGTAATATAAATTAAAAAATTGCCCGGCTGGCATGGCTTAGTGGTTGAGTGGCCATCTATGAACCAAGAGGTCATGGTTTGATTCCTGGTCAGGGCACATGCCCAGGTTGCGGGCTCGATCCCAGTAGGGGGTGTGCAGGAAGCAGCCATTAATGATTCTCTCTCATCACTGATGTTTCTCTCTCTTTCCCTCTCCCTTCCTCTCTGAAATCAATAAAAATAAAAACAAAAATAATAAAAAATGAAATAAATTACTACCCTAATTTATTTTTGCTAAATTAGCAAATTTGTACACTTTGGTGGTTGAATTATCCTTTGAGAGATTTTAGTGCAATACTAAGTAAATCAAATACAACATAACAGCAAAGACATGAAGGAAGCAGGCACACAAATCAATTTTCATGTTCAATTTACGCACAGGGCAGGGAGATTACAAGTGGTTAGATCTTTAAGTAGAAACATTAAATGTTTGAGTCAAACAAATTAAATTCAAGGCTCCGTACTTATTAAAATAAGAAAAACACACTACTTTAATATAGAATGAATCTTGACTAAAAGAAACTCATACAATTCTTCAGCAATAAGCTAATGACTTCAAATAAGCTACATATTAATGTAATTATTAGTCCAAGTAATTAAAAATAAGTTCATATTTAGATCATTTTTACAGAACTGTAAGAAAATTCTTGTGAATTTTTAAAGCATTTTATCTTTCAATGAAAAGGACAATGTATCCATCATTTTTACATCCAATGTTCTGCAGGTATCAATCAAAATCTGCCTACAGATGCCAGGGGTGAAATGCCCCTCCTGCATCACTCCCTTTCCCTACTGCCTCATTTGTCTGTTTCTTTTACACTTCACATTAGTATACGTAACAGGCATAATCATAGAGAAGACTGACCTTATTAGACCTGGGAAGGTGGTCAAATATGTTCTCCCATACAGTGGGTTCCCTTTTCATTTTAATGAGTTCTTTTGCTGTACAGGAGCTTTTTATTTGATGTAGTCCTATTTGCTTATTTTCTTAGTTTCCTTTGTCCTAGGAGATGTATTGGCAAAAATTCCAATACTGCCTATTTTCTCCTAAGATTTTTATGGTTTTGTGCCTTACATTTAAGTCTTTTATCCATTTTGAGTTTATTCTTGTGTATGGTCTAAGTTGGTGGTCTAGTTTTACCTTTTTGCATGTCTCTCCAGTTCTACCAACACCATTTCTTGAAGACTGTCTTTACTCCTCTGTATGATCTTGCCTCCTTGGCCAAATATTGACCATAATGGTATGGGTCAATTTCTGGGGTCTCTGTTACGATCCATTGGTCTATATGCCTAGTCTTCTGCTAATACCAGGTTGATTTGCTGATAATGACTTAGTAACATAGTTTGATATCCAACTTTGTTCTTCTTTCTCAAGATTATGCAGCTATTTGGGTTCTTTTATGGTTCCATATAAATTTTTGGAGTATTTTTTTCCCCTAGTTATGTGAAGTATGCCATTGGTATTTAATAGGGATTGTGATGAATTTATAGATTTGGGTAGTATAGACATTTTAATAATATTAATTCTTCCAATCCAAGAACATGGTATACATTTCCATTAGTTTGTATCTTCCTCTATTTCTTTTTCAATGTCCTATAGTTTTCCTAATCTAGGTCTTTTACCTCCTTGGTTAAGTTTATTCCTAGGTATCTTTTTGTTGTTATTGTTGCAATGGTAAATGGGATTTTTTTTTAAGTTTCTCTTGTGCTCAATTTAATTAACTCAAATTTTTCAACAGACATTTCAATTTTTCTAAATATTCTTTAAGTATAATTTCAGAGAACTTTAAAAAATACTTAAATTTTCCCAAACTATCAATTTCAACTTACCAAATTATAAATTCCTAACAGAAGTGCTTCAATGCAACCATTACTCTGTCTGTCTCGGCTAACTGTAAGCCGTAAATAAACCCACATCAATTCTGGCAAGAACTGCAGCGTGAACCTCTTAAGTCGAACTTCAGAGCTACGATAGAGCTCAAACAGCTGGTGGCAGACAGGTTCCAGGAGCTAAAAGTAAAACAAAGTGCATTAATTATTTCCATTATTTTGGATATAACTGTATTTTTAAAGGCACATATACTTATATTTCTAAACTAAATTCTCAACATAATTCTTGCATATTTTGAATCAGTGCAACCAAATCTTATTAATCTCTATGTAGTGAGATTACATATTAAACTGACCAATATACTAACTATAAGAAGTACTTTGTGGCCATATAATGTCAACATAACTTTTAATACACTATACTACTTAATTTACAATAGTTCTTTAATTAATGTATCAACTTATATTTAATAAGTTTCCTTTTCTGTTCTTAGCAACCCTTAGTATCTTCCATTTTAAAAAAGTTTCTATTGAAAGAAAATAATATCAAATGATCTTGTTGAAAGTTAAATATCAATTTAAGATTATGATTTAAATAAATTATATACCACTCAGTAGAGAAAGGGATTTTGCAATATGTAATATTTGGACATCCAAAATGCTAATATTTTAAATTAATGCTAGCTAACAAGAGACTGATAAATTCTGCTAATTATATTTATTTGAAATATTTTGAAAAGGAGGAAATTCTTCAGATATAGGTTTTCAAATGTTTAATTGGATAATTCTTCATAAGATATCACACAATATGATTTACAAGGAACTTCATGACCATGAAAACTAAAGAAAATGATTGGTTTAAATAAATCTTCCCCTTTTCCCTAAGCAGATACTGCTGATTTAGAATTTTTCTTTGGAATATTTGGAGACTAAACAAAACTATGATTTCAAAATGCAGACAAACACTGACAGGAAACTATAATGTTTAAAATGTAACACTAGTTTAATAAAACATTTTAGAATAAAGCCACTTTTTTCACAATGTAAACTAAAAGTCAACTTATCCTATTGCACACATAACATATTTAGACATGTTAAACTTAGTTCTTAAGGAACAACTAAAGCTAAAAAAAAATTATACAAACCAATTTTAGTTTAGTAACTACTAACCCCTTATGTGAAATCACTATTATTATATTCAAAATCTTAAAAAACATTTTATCTTTCTCCTTATACTGAAGTCTAGATCAAACAACTTGCCAAAGACAGAGAGTTTAGTGATGTAGGAAGATAACTAGAATTCAGGTCTTCGGACACCAGGTTGATATTCCCACTATACCACATTTCTTATATTACAGCAAAGATGGAATAGGAGGTGAGAGTTCTTTAATTACAATATTCCACATAGTGCCAATAAGAAATATACTTTTGAAAATAGTCAATTGCTGGCATCTTTTTTAAATGCTGACAATAATATTCAGGTCTTTCAGGAAATTAAAGATTGTTGCTCTTATAAATTTATTACACACACACACACACACACACACACACACACACGGTTTTTATTTTATACGTTTATTTGAACCAAACTGATGACATATGCTGGGGAGCAAGATCTTAAATACTCCCCAAAAATAAATAAATAAATAAATAAATAAATAAATAAATAAATAAATAAATATTTTTTTTAATCTACTTTCCTCTTTAGTAAAAGATGCTAAAATTACTTTCTCTAATTTTTTTTTACCTTCTCTAAATGTTAATGTCCATGGAACAATATTATTTGTTTATTTTAGAAAGATCTTAACTTCCTTCCTCAGTAGCAAAAACTACATGTAGGAGACTATATTTTAATTAAGCATTCAAAGAAATACAGACTGAGGAAAATTATTATTCTGCCTTTTTTTTAAAGTCAGAGGAAGAGTGGCTGGAAATTCAGGAACATTTCATCAGATACCACTGCAAAATAAGACTGTTAAAAACTTGCCAGACCTACAATAGAAGTCCTGGAATTAAAGATCTGTTAAAAATCTTTAATTCCAAGCGTAAGTATTTGGCCACTGTGTTCTTAGTTTCTCAGTATTATACACGACTCTAACCTCCCCTAAATGAAACTATCACCCACAGCAAAAGGTGTTAAAGGTCATTTTCCTCTGGTTAAAAGAAAATAAAGCTTAAGAATAACTGACACATTCCCCAAATTTAGCAAACAGTTTGATAAAATAATTACTAAGATACATGCTCTCTGATGAACACACTGAGACAATCTGGCTGGAATACTGGACACTGAAGCCCAATTTAGGTTAAAGAGAATGTGAGGTGAGGAAAAGAGGTCAAACAGAAAGAAGTTATAGATAAGCAATACTTTATATAGTTCATATGTGAAAAGAGACAACCAAATGGGATAGATATAAAACAGCAAATCAAATAAGACTTTAAAAAAATAGAATATGGTTCTTTGCCATACTGCACTCATTAGGAAAGGGAGGGAAATCAATCATGGAGGAAAGAGAGGAGATAATTAAAGGAACAATCTTTGAGATGACTAGGGAAGATGGGATCCAGGCCCAAGTGAAAGAGATGGCCTTTGATAAACTAGGATACTTTATCTACTCTACAGCAGGAAAGGCAGGAGAGGATGGGTAGAGATGATGGTATATTTGAATGGGAAAATAAGAGAGCTCCCAACTACTTTCTTATTCTTTTTTAATGAGCTAAAAATAAGGAGAAGAATATGAGAAAAGAGGTGTAAAATGAAGTTAAACAGTACCAAAGAAGTAAGACTGTAAGAGATTTTTAGTTTTGCATTTAAAGTGCAGAAAGTTGGAGGTCTCCTTGAAGTGGAAGAACCGCTAGAGTGACTAAGGTATCTGGAAGGAGGGAAATGAGAAAAGTGAAGCAATATGTTGGTGCAGAGACTAATGTTCTATATATTAATGATTCTACAGAGCTTAATGTTCTGTTTTTCTTAAGTATGAACACAGTTAGAACCTATGACCTGACAGGAGAAAAGAATGGATAGACCTGCTCTGTCAACTGGCTGATTATGCTGACTGCTGGGCCTTGACCTTGAATCTCTATAAAGTTATAAATTTTCCATTTCTAGCCATGACAAAGTTTGACACATTGTGTGAAGTATTACAATATAAAACAATATAAATAACTTTTTAAAATGTCACAGTTTCCACGTATAACTGAATCAAGGAAACGGATACTTTTTTCTTTTTAATCCTTACCTGAGGATATGATTTTATCGATTTTGTTTTAGAGAGAGAGAAGAAGAGGGAGGAAGAGAGGGAGTTGGGAGAGGGGTGTAGGGGGAGAGAGAGAGAGAAAGAAGAGAAGAGAAGAGAAGAGAAGAGAAGAGAAGAGAAGAGAAGAGAAGAGAAGAGAAGAGAAGAGAAGAGAAGAGAAGAGAACAGAAGAGAAGAGAAGAGAAGAGAACAGAAGAGAGAGAGAGAGAAAGAAACACTGACCGGTTACCTCCCATCTGAGCCCCTACCAGGAATCAAACCCAAAGCCTAAGCATGTGCCCTGACCAGGAACCAAGCCCGCCACCTATTTGGTATAGGGGATAGTGCTCTAACCAGGGAATGTGAGTCCCAATAAAAATGACAGCATTTTAGAATCTCATTTTGTATTTCACTATTCTTCCAATAAATATTTATTAAGTGTTCATTATGTAGATGGCAGAATATTAGATTCTATGAAGTAACAAATATAGAATATATGACTACTGCCCATGAAGAGCTTACAATCTAAAGAGAAAGCATAAAACAAATTTTAATAAGCAAAGCTTAAATGTTAGGACAGTGCAAAACAGAGGGTGGGGAATACACACATTCGGTATCCAAACAGAATTTTGAAAATGCCTGACCAAGAATATGCATACTATATGTACATTACCACATTTGAAGTTATAAAACATTCATAAATACACAGCAAGAGAAAAAGAAGCAAATGAATCCTGTAATTGCCGCTACACAAGGTAACAGATGCAAGTCTGAGAGCCAATCCAAGTTTAGGAGATAGGAAAGAAAGAGGTCAATAAGCAAGCTTTAGTGACTGGACAAAAATGAAGATGCACTTTAAGTTAGGCTGCTGGTTACGAGATGATTACCTGAACTTCTTCAAACTCACTCCAGTACACAGCAGAGGCTCGCGTGGAGGCTGTATCTGGGAAGATAAGAAGCTACTTTCCTGTGTGTTCCTTTCATTTTCACTTTAAAGCATACATGAGTCCAGTGGTGATAAAAATGTCATAACTATTGTGTTAATGAAAAGATAATGTGTGTATTTTGCATAAATTAGCAAATAGATTCAATAACTGGACTTTTTTCCCTTTATGACAAACTGAATAAAAGAAAACTCTAATATTAAGTTCATTAATCTTGACTAGGCTAAAATATGCTTTCTCTGATAATTTTGAAGCTAAATTACTAGCAGTATCATTTTATGTTACCAGTCTAAGTTCGTTGATTAGGGTGATTATACATAGTTCTATATTGTCAATAAAATAACTGCAAAGAATGCTTAAAATAAAATAAATAAATCTCAATCAGTGTATGGTTAAAATTTGGCTCCCAGAAAAAGAAATATTCCAGAAAAGGAAACAAAGGAGAGTTTTGAATTAAACAAATAATCTACTAAAATAATGGTCACTCAGATGAAGAATTAAATATACTGTCCTCAGCAGGAACCAATTTGATCAAAACATTTAAAAATATGGAGAGAGAGCATGAGGAAAGCCAAAGCAACTATCAGAATGAAAAATAGCAGAAAACATTTTCCAGTCCCTTAAGAAGAATTAAAAAAAAAAAAAAAGAGTAGGAAAAACTATAAAACTTAAATATATGTGCTATAGTACACATATTTCATTTTATTATGTTGAAATTATTTTTCTTATAAACTCTCCTACCTCATTATTTGAATCTTGAATAACTTTGTAGAGGGCTGGTACCAATGTTTTTTTCCGGTGTAAAGTTGCTGCATAATTAGTGATCTGAGTGTCAGGTAATGCCTAAAAAAAAAAAATTTTAAAGAAAACAAAAGTGAACTTAATATTTGGGAAGTCAGAAACTTTATTTTAAAGAGTTTCTCTTGAAAATATTTATAGGAGTCAATTACGAAAAAAACTGAGCCCTGGCCAGTTTGGCTCAATGGATAGAGCATCTGGGGACAGAAGGGTCCTGGGTTCAATTTTGGTCAAGGACACGTCCCAGGTTGTGGGCTCAATCCTCAGTGGGGGGCATGCAGGAGGCAACCGTTCCATGATTTTCTCTATGTTATTCTCTCTCTCCCTTCCTCTCTGAAATCAATAAAAATATATTTATTTTTAAAATTAATATAAGAAATAACCATGAATGTTAATAAAACAAATAGTTACAGTATACAGGGTGAGGCAAAAGAAGGTTTACAACTGTGAGTACTCGAAACACAGTTTATTCTTGTATTATTATTAATTATTATATTATTTATTTTCATTACAACTGTAAAACTACTTTTGCCCCACCCTGTATAATCCTAACCATTAAACCATAAAAATGATTAGAAACACATATTAAAACCAAGATTTGCTGAAATGGGTCATCTTAAACTAATATAATCTAAAAAAGTAGGTAAGGATATATTTTAATATGTTCTTATTGATTGTTTAGAGCGAAAGGAAGGGAGGGAAGTAGAGAAATAGAAACATCTTTTTGGCTTCTTCCTGAATGCCCCTTACTGAAGATCAAGCTTGCAACCTAGACATGTGCCATGACAAGGAATCGAACCAGTGATCTCTTGGTTCCTGAGCCACATCGGCCAGGCAGTTTAGATATATTTTAATTCTTGTATTTTATGTTTATAAAACACTTTTTTCCATAATGTTAATAATTATAGTTTTCACTCAAATCAATGAATGATTTTAAATTACAGGAAATAAAATAAGGCAAAAATCCTATTTCTATGCCTTATTAAAAACTGAAGGTTTCCCTTCGTTGAATTGAATATTTTAAAATTTATATATCCTCATTAATCCTAACAAACTATTTTCATTTTTATATATTATCTTCTAGCCATTATTCACATCAGTGCCCTTTTAGAAAGTTGCAATTACAGAAATGTTATTTCAAATTTTGCCATTTCTACTTCATATCATAATATTTCGATTTCTCCCAAGAACACATATTTACTGTTTAAATTACTGACATATAGAATCATATGACACATTCTTATCCCTAATCCAACTTACCTTGAATTCTGATAACCATTCTTCCACAACACCACGTTCAGATCCCAGCATCTTCTTCTACCTTGTTACTCTTATCTCTGAAAGAAAAAAGCACTGAATTGAGGATAGCATTACTACTTTCAGAGACTACCAAAAGTAAATAACGAGTGCCTTTCACTAAAGGAGAAATTCATCTAGTATATATTTTAGATAAGAAGGCTTAGTTTAAACTTAATTAAACCAAAAATTTTTAAAGAAAGAAGTTTTATTTCTTTTAAATATATTTTTATGGCTTTCAGAAAGGATGGGAAAGAAAGAGATAGAAACATCAATGAGATAGAGAATTATTGATCGGGTGCCTCCTGGACACCACCTACTGGGGATCGAGCCTGAATCCCAGGAATTGAACTGTGACCACCTGGTTCATAAGTCAATGCTCAACCATTGAGCTACATTAGCCAGGCTACATCAGTGAGCAAGACTAACTATGATAACTGCTCTTAAGGTCTTCTGATGGACCAAATTTATTAAACAAAGCTACACAAGTATTAAGACAACATATGAGATAGTAAAAAATGAGTTTTGCTACAGCAAATTTTCAAGCTATTTAGATTAAGTGTGAAACTTAAGCACTTAAAATGTGCTGTTATTGTAAATACCAAGTTCCCTAAGGAAAAACCTAGAGCTATACTATCCAATACAGTAGCCACTAGCTATAAGTGGCTAATAATAACATAAAATAAAATTTAAAGATTCAATTCCTTAGTTGCACTAGCTATATTCAAGTACTTAGTAACGAAGTGTGGCTTGTGTCTCGCATATTGGACAGCACAGATATAGAACACAGACATTATCATGGAAATTCTTTTGGACAACACTGATCTAAATGTAGTTAAATGTCGATAATATAGTTATGCTAAGAAAATTTGATAAGTCAGTAACTGTAAAGGTTAGACAACAAAAAAGTTAAAAGACATAACTATTAAACAGAAAACACTTTTAAAAGTAGATTTCAAAGACATTAAGATGTGATTCTTTCAAGTCTCCTCGGTAGAATTGCCTAATAAATAGAAGCTATCCTCCAAGGATTATCAAAAGTCTAATACAGTGGTCAGCAAACTCATTAGTCAAGCTGTGGTTTGCCCCTCTATTGACTAATGAGTTTGCCGACCACTGGCCTAATATATATAAGTGTATGGGAAATTCACTCTTTATCCTTTAAAAAGTTAAATTACATAATTTTTACCTCTGTTCTAAGATCAGTTTTCTAAAGGAGGAGGTGGCACAGGAATGCAGCAAAGTTCAAGTGTGGAATTCATTTGTTGAGACTTAAATATTTTCCAACTCTATAAAAAATGAAAATAGAAAACTGTAAAATGTTGAGACATATTCTCAAGAATGTAATACAAAGAAGTAAGAACAATTTTGGTAAGACAGGTTTAATATAGTTTATCTAATTTAAGAAATAATTAGTAACTCAAAAATTTCTATAATAACTAACCTATACTTGTATACCATTACCAAACCTAATTTTTTTAAAAAAATTAGAAAGGAAGTCCTAGTTTTAGTTGCAAATATTCATTAATTATCAGCAAGACCTTGAGTAAGTTATTTAAATTTTCTGGAGCTGGAGCCTCACTTGAATAATTTATAAAATTAAGATTTTTATACAATAATTCTACTAATCCAATAGTACAGTGCAAACAATCATTAAAATTTTATTATGAAGTATAAAACCAAGCTTAAATAATAAGCATCAATGACTATAAAATCATTTTGGATGAGTTTTACAGAACTGAAAATTTTATCATTTTAAAAAAAGAACATAGAAAATGCTATTACTTGAATTTTTGTCACAAAAATATGTTAAAGGTTTTTAATCAGAGAAAATAATTTTCAAATTGCTAAAGTTATACTTTTCTCACAAATTGATAAATCTTTTCATATAGTTGCTTATCACATTATGTTCTATCTCTTTGATTCAAAACTGTATTACCATTTTAAATCTAAAACATGAAAAGAAAATTAGCACTTTAAAATATGTTAACAATATTATTTTAAATACAAAAAACACATCAATAAATATCTCTTGAAATTTAATTACATATCATTATAATTCAATGTTTTTCAAACTACAGATGTGTCACAAGCCCTCTCTACTCCAACCACAACAGCTGACTTCATCTCTTCTATGGGATTTTTACTTCATCAGTTGTTCAGCAGTGAGGGACAGTCTTGGAAAGGACTAAGAATATCTCCGGAAAGCTATACAAGAAACTCGTAACTAGTGCCCCTTTGTGAAGATGGAGACTCCATCTTTTAGTATCTTGGGAATTATGAACCCAGGCCACTCCCAGACTTTGAAGCAGTGCACAGATGGGGACTCTGTAGAGATGGGCTTCTGACAATCTTCAGGGCTAAGGATACAGATACCATCAGGCTCTCAATTTAAAAAGACAAAGCAAAAAAATCCAACATGGCAAATGATAGGAAAACTGAGTTTTATTAAACTTTAACACAGCTGCCCTAAATCTAACCGGTTTTGCTCAGTGGTTAGAGCGCCAGCCTTCGGACTCAAGGATCCCAGGTTCGATTCCGGTCAAGGGCATGTACCTGGGTTGTGGGCACATCCCTAGTAGGGGGTGTACAGGAGGCAGCTGATTGATATTTCTCTCTCATGAATGTTTCTAATTCTCTATCCCTCTCCTTTCCTCTCTGAAAAAAAATCAATAAAATATATTTTTAAAAAACAACAAACTTTACCACAGCTTTAAAATAGCTCAATCCCTGATTAATTGGAGGTAATTAGCCCCTTCACCCATTTGAGCCACAGAAAGAAATGGGAACCCTATTTGGAAGGTAACGTTGTCTCTGAATCTTTCATACAAAAAGTCTGGCACACAATAATAAAATGACTAAATATCCATAGAGACAAAAATATAACCAAAAATTAAAAGAAAATAAGAAAAAAACAGCATACACATTCCTCTGAAGTGCACAAAGTAGGCTATTTTCCGAGATAGACAATACGTAGGCTACAAATCAACACTCAACAGATTTAAGAAGATAGGTATTATACAGAGTATCTTCCATGAAGTCATGGGATGAAGATAGAAATCAAAAGGAAAAGTGGGAAAATTCGAAAGGTTGTGGAAATTAACACACAGGGAAATTAGAAAATACTTAGAGCCAAACAATAATAAAAACACAATGTTCCAAACCTATGGGATGCTGTGAAAGTGGTGTTAAGGGGGAAATGTATAGCTATTAATATAAATGCTTACATTAAAAAACAAGAAAACTCAAATAAACAACCTAACTTTACAACTTAAGGAACTAGAAAAAGAATAAGCTAAACCCAAGGCTAGCAGAAGGAAGAAAATAATAAAGATTAGAACAGAGATAAATGAAATAGAGAATAGAAAAAAATCTAAAACCCAAAAGAGGTTCTTTAAGAAAACACAAATTCCTAAAATCAGAAAGAGGGACATTACTACTGGTTCTACATAAATAGAAAGGGTTATAAAAGAGAGTATTGTGAAGGACTGTACACCAACAAATTGGATAATCAAATTCCTAGAAACACAAAACTTACCAAGATTAAACCAGGAAAAAATAGAAAATCTGCACCCCAATAAAATCAATAAAATAAAAAGAGGAGCCTAGCTGGTATGGCTCAGTGGTGGAGGACATAATTAGACTCTCAGTTAAGGCATATGCCTGGGTTTCAGGCTCAATCCCCCCCAATAAGGGGTATTCAGGAGGCAGCCAATCGATGTTTTCTCTCATCGATGTTTCTCTCTCTCTATCCCTCTCCTTTCCTCACTCTCTAAAAGTCGTTAAAAACATATTTTTTTTAAAAACCTCAATTTTTTATTTTTAATCTATGGTTCATTAGATTAGACGTGCTTTTCTTTAACTTTTTCTTTTAAATGTCTCAACAAGGAATCTTATTAAAAGAGAACTTAGCCAGGTGGATGAACCCATGAAATGCTTGGTGCAGAGTGGACTGAACGCAAAAGGAAGTCCCTTTCCCAGAGAAGAATCCAGAATGGGGGACAACAGAAAGGGGGCTCAGGAAGCATGGGTGGGTTCAGTGGTAAATTTGATTCTAATATTTCTTGGAGTTCAGTGTTTTACAAATAGACCAAAATAACTCTTTTGTAACTGATGCTTTGCCATTCAATAAATTGGTGCCATTTATCATATTTTATGACTACTTTTCTGGTAGTTATATTTCAAATCTAGAAAGAACTATCCTATATAAAAGCCTAATATACAAATTGTCCCCTAGACCGGGAGTTTGACCACTTGTTATGAGGTGCGCTGACCACCTGGAGGTGGCGTGGGACATGGCAGGCATTGGTGACATGGTGCTGGCAGCAGGCAGCGGTGGAGGCACTGCCAGCCCCAATGGGTCCTGATGAGTGGAACCACGGTGGGATGGTGGAGCAGGTAAGCGGGTGGCACCAGGCCAAGGTGGGTGTGAGCAGGGTCCGATAGCCCCACCGACTGTCCTGCAGACTGAGACCAGCAGCAGGGGAAGGGGGGCGGCACCAGGGCCACCATCCAGCTCCCAGGCGCTGGGGGAGTCAGGCGGGGGCTGATGACTCAAACGGAGGGGGATGGGTGGGGGTCTGGGGGCCCAGGTGCTGCCCAGGGCCCAGAGGTCAGCTGGGACCCGCCCTTCCACACCAGATGCTTGCACTTCAATAGCTGGCCAGGCCTAGAGACCACACCCACCAGTGCACAAATTTCGTGGACCGGGCCTCTAGTAATTCTCTAAATAATCCAAGTCACATATCTTAATATATTACATAATTGAGTTTTTACTCTTTTCTCCAAAATTAAAGCTGACTCATTTACTTTTTCTAATACTTGTCTTGATAGCAAATAGATACCAAAACAGCAAGTCTAAGAATTCATAAAGATAAACCAGGAATTTCTAAATAGGATCTGTGCCAAAATCAACAAATTCACAATTCCAAGTTTTACTATATATTATTGAGTGTTTACACAAAATCTAAATGTATATCATCTTTGTTTCATAGCAATATTGTAAAAGACCTTTAATTGAGAAAACTTCCAATTCTTATTTTCCAAGTGTAGTAGTTTGATTCTAGAATTGGATAGCGTCCAGATACATTGAGAGAACAAGATATAAGTAAATATCTGTGCAAATTAACACAGGTCTAAATCATGAAAGAAATTACCTTGGTTTGTGGAAAGCAGCTAATTGTCAAGTAAAAACTAATCCAAACCAAAATATTCAGCACAATTTTTATTTCTGGCAACTTCAGCTCCTGGCTAGAAAATCTATCCCAGCTAAGATATTAAATGGTGAAAATGCATTGAGCTATAAAGTTATTGGTAGATTTGATAGTCCTTTCTCTCAAGCAAAAACTATGATTACTGGTGCATATCACAAGTAAGAGAGCCTTGAATTAGATCAATGATTTGTAAGTGGAAGCCAGCAGTGAACCATATCTAGGGAATTTTTTTGTCTTCAAAATATGTATATCCACCTTCCTTCACATTCCCCTTACCGCTAAGATTCTGAAGGGAAGTTGAGATGATATAATAAATATGTATATTTCTTTTTTTTTTTTATATATATATTTTATTGATTTTTCACAGAGAGAAAGAGAGAGGGATAGAGAGTTAGAAACATCGATGAGAGTCATCGACCAGCTGCCTCTTGCACACCCCCCACCGGGGATGTGCCCGCAACCAAGGCACATGCCCCCGACCGGAATCGAACCCGGGACCTTTCAGTCCGCAAGCCGACGCTCTATCCACTGAGCCAAACCGGTGCCGGCATAAATATGTATATTTCTTGAGAAAAAAAAAAAGCCTCCTAGATTATTCTGTGTGTGTGTGTGTGTAAAACTCTTCACTTTCATGGAGATTTTCTGAATTAGGTCCGAGTCTATTTTTAACACTTTATCAATAGAAGGCAAACGGAGCAGAGCTATTTTGAATTGAAATAGCTCAAAGTGACAAGAACTCAGTGGAAGGCTATGCAGGTAAGGAAGGCTCTGCTCACACCAGCTGTAAGCAACTTCAGAGCTTTCTGTGCCAGCTCCCTCCAAAATCCACTGCATCACATTTTAGACAATGACAAATATTCAATTCATCATCCTGAGAAAAGAATTTCGTCTACTTACCAGGCAAAAATGTAAAAAGAAACTATTTGAACATCAAAGGAAACTAAGAAGTCACAGACACTGAAACAAAAAATTCCTCTGTTCTTGTATTAAAAGATAACAACAAAATATTATTTTGTGCAACTGATAACTTGTTTGGAGACTTTTTGCCCATATTTTATCATTTTATTTTTTTGTGTTTTGTTTTGTTTTTTATTTCAGAGATTAAGGAAGAAGAGAGATAGAAACATCAACGATGAGAGAGAATCATTGACCAACGCCTCCTGCACACCCCACACCGGGGATTGAGCCCGCAACCTGGGCATGTGTTCTGACTGGGAATCAAACTCAGGACCCTTCAGTCCACGGCTGACGCTCTAGCCAATAAGCCAAACCAGTTAGGACTGTGTGTTGTTGTTGTTGTCGTTTTTTATGTAGCATGGGTTTTTCTATTATAAAGCTCAGTCAAGCTGAAAATCTTAATCATTCTAGAACTTAGTAAACTACTATAAGGTGCCAAAACTGTGTATTAAAAACTAAATCTATTGCATGTGAAGATGGCTTGAGAGTTGGATTTGAAAACAAGCTTTCAAGCCAAAACCGGTTTGGCTCAGTGGATAGAGCGTCGGCCTGCGGACTGAAAGGTCCTGGGTTCGATTCCGGTCAAGGGCATGAACCTTGGCTGCAGGGCACATCCCCAGTAGGGGGTGTGCAAGAGGCAGCTGATAGATGATTCTCTCTCGTCGATGTTTCTAACTCTCTATCCCTCTCTCTTCCTCTCTGTAAAAAATCAATAAAATATATATTTTTAAAAAATAAATAAAATAAAAACAAGCTTTCAAGGTGCAATTTAGAGCAAATGATTATACTTCTTTACAGCCATTATTTCAAATTCCTTATAAACAGCTCCACTACAGAAATGTGTCAGAAAAGTGGACTTCTAATGATATTCAACTTTATTGTATTAATATTTTACAATGACACCTACTGGCCATTAAAAAATCATCCACTGACAGCTCCAGTAGGCTGATTACATAATAATACACACACACCACCCTACATAAAAGCAGATTTGTTCACAGAACTGCAACTAGAAGTAGATACATTCTTTGTGCCTGAGATAGTATTATTCATGCAAAAAGTAAAACTACAATGAAACGCCAAGTGTCAAAATTTTTATCTGAAAGCATTGATAAGTATCTCAGTACTCCACTTCAGAATTAACAAAATCTAATGAACTACCTCTCCTTACCAAGTGATGAATTTTTTATTTAGGTTCTGGGACATATTAATATAAATTAGTAATAGAAAAAGGGAAGCTATAGTACACTTGCTAATACTATATTAGTTCTTATCTTCTAAGATACAGGCAACATTTCAATCAGCTTACATTTTGGAAATTTATTATGCTTCTTTTAAAACTGTTTTCCAGTGAGCTACAAAACCAAGTGGTGTTTTTTTTTTAAATAAATGTACATATATTTTTAAAATTGATTTCAGAGAGGAAAGGAGAGGGAGAGATAGATCAATGATGAGAAAGAATCACTGACAGGCTGCCTCCTGCGCGCCCCCTACTGGGGATCAAGCCGCAACCCAGGCAAGTGCTCTGATCAGGAATCAATCAAGTGCTCTGACCTCCAGGTTCATAGGTTGAGGCTCAACCTTGGAGGCACAATGGCGAGCAAAATCAAGTTTTTAATGTAGTCTGTTCTTCCATAACATACGCTTAATGAAATTCCTGTATTAATTGTACATTTCATTGTGCAAGCATGTCAATTCAGTTATTTATATCTGCAAATACATTTTACCTCTGTCAGAGAGGTTCAAAAAGAATACTTTCTAAACCTAAGAAATAATCCATAACTAGATTTCTAGTCATTTTCCAATTTGCACTTACCTCGCACTATAGATTTTTGAGGCTCTCCACTTTCCTGAAGATTAGAAATAAAGAAGTATTTGCAATCAGCCTTGACCCTCAAAAACAAATAAGTTCCTAAACTGCAAACTAACGAATCTCTCAACCCAAATCCATATTTGGGATAAGGTCGTCGTGACTATCCTTCATGCTTGCACGCTTCCACAGCCTGCAGGGGTGAAAAGCACTCAAACCAACGAAGAAGAAAAAAAAGAGAACTATTCTGACACATCAATGGGTTACCAGACCTCCTCTTCCAAGAGGGGCAACCAGGTTGTTTGGGTACATAACAGCCACGGGTTACATAATATATACAGTTACAAAGAGTCCCAAGGATCTGACCGCCAGTGAATATCTGTCCTCTCCGCTCCCCCTTCCCACCCGGAGAAACAGCCCTTTCAGAAGAGCAATCCCTGGGATTCCTCCCCGGTGCCTGCAAAGCCGCGTCCTTCTCGCTGTCCGAGCTTCGTGCACGGAGCCCCTCCAGCCCTCACGACTCCGCCCGGCTCCGGCCCGTCCTCCCTGCAGGTGCCACCGCAGCCCTCACGCCCTAGGCCCCACGTCGCCGCTCCGGGCTCAGCCTCCACCCGCCTCGGCTGCCTGCTCCTCGCGACCTCCCGGCGGCTACCTGGGCTGCGAAAGGCTCCGGGGCCACCGACAGTGCGGCTGCCACCTGCCCAGACCGTCCTCGTCGGACCCCCTCGAGAGCTCCTGCAGCCGGAGATGGACACCCCTTCTCTGGAGCCCTCGCGCCCCCCAAAGACAGCGCGGCCGCTGGCTTACCTGTCACCCCGCTGCCTCCGGCTTCTTACCGCCACCGCCTCCCGCAGCCGCCTGCCAACTGCAGCGCAACAAGCAGCCCTCCCATTGGCCGGGTCCACGTTGAACAACAGCCTCTCTTATTGGCTGTAGGAGGTCCGCGGCCCGCCCCTCGGTGCAGCATCAATTCCGGTCTGCGAACAAGGAAAACATCGCCTCTGCCCCGACCTTCTGTCCTCCACCATGGCTCCGATCATCGTGAGACGACGGATATACAGGTGTACTGGGTGAGGTGGGGGAAATGTCGACTGTCAGCCTCCTTCGCGTCATCTCCACCTGGTTCATAAGTCTGTGACCCCGAACCGGAACGGCTTCTCGGCTTTCCTGCCGGAAGGACCTCCAGGTGGCAACTTCCGCTTCCGGTTGGCTCGGGCTGGAGGCTTGACTATTGAGTGTCCTCAGAGGTCAGATTGCTGTCAGGTAAATTAGAGAGCTGGTGGGCGATCGCTTGAGTGGAAATAGGAATGAGATATCCATTCTGGGGGGGTTCGAAAAGGAGAGACAAAATAAAGAAGGATGATGAGAGTGGGTGGCTCCAGAGGAAAGGCGATCGAAGAGCTAGCGGGGGAGACCTGTGAAGTTCTGGGGTGGTGGGGGTGGGTGTACAAGGATACAGTGGGAATGACGGGGCTTATTCAGTCCAGATGCCTTTTTCCTACTCTGCCACCAGCAGCATCCCCTGTCCCGTGTTGTTGTTTTTTGTTTGTTTACATTTGAGTTGCATAAAGGCAGAACAGCCTCCCCAAATAAAAAATGTGTGAAGGAGGACCCTAGCTGATTTGGCTCAGTGGGAAGACGGTCAGCCTGCGGACTGAAGGGTCCCAGGTTCAATTCCAGCCAAGGGCACATGCCTGGATTTTGGGATCAATCCCCAGTGTGGGGGTTGCAGGAGGCAACCACTCAATGATTCTCTTTCATCATTGATGTTTCATCATTGATCTCTCCTCCATTCCTCTCTGAAATCAATAAAAATATATTTTTTAAAAATTTTTGAAGGAGGAATAATTATAACGCCTGCCTCACAAATATGTATAGTTGTTTTTTTTAAAAATATATATATTTTATTCCCCCGACTGGAACCGAACCGGGACCCTTCAGTCCGCAGACTTATGCTCTACCCACTGAGCAAAACCGGCTAGGGTAAATATGTATAGTTTTAAGTGAGATTTTTTTTTTTCTTTTGTGAATGTTTTGGACACGATGTTAAAGTGAAAAAACAGGGTACAAAGTCGCATCCATTTTTAGAGCGATTTACTCCAAAATTTTTACTATTTTAAAATTGCATGTACATAGGTGCAGGGATTGGAAGGGACACAAAAAAATTCATTCGTCTTTTATTTACTAATGTTCTTATAATACCCCCAATTTTAAAAATGAGAGGAAATTGGGGTGTATGCTTGAAAGTCTTTGGTAAACCACAAAATTACATATGTTGTAAGTGGTATTACCGTGTTTTCCGGACAATAAGACGTCCTCCGAAAATAAGACCTAGCGCATGGAAAGATAAGACATCCCCTGAAAATAAGACCTAGCGCAACTTTGGGAGAAAAAATTAATATAAGACATTGTCTTATTTTCAGGGGAACAGGGTATCCTCTTATTGCCTTCTTAGGGATTCCATCCCCCTTTAGTGGAGGTTAATATTATAGGTTCACTCCAAACATAAGTAGATAGCTTTTTAAATTTTCATGACTACGTGGATTTTCTTTGTGGAAATAACTCCTTGCTATTCTTGTTGGAACAACTCTGAACTGGAAATAATCACCTGTTGTTGAGTCCTTAGCATACTTTGTCACTTTATCTAATTTCCTATTTTACTGTGAAGTATACATAATAGAAGGGTGTATAAAAGAGTACTTTTTAAAGAATTCTAATTAAGCAAACACTTGTGTACCCACCCTTCTGTTTAGGACATAAAGCATTGCCAATACCTTAGAACATGCATTCTCAACACAAGTGATTGGCCTTTGAGTATTTGAAAATTGGTTCTGAGAGATGGACAGTGTGTGAAAAAATCATAGATACTACTGAGGTGTGTGGCTCTCCAAAAAGCCATAGTATGTAAATATGATATAACATATCTGTAGTGTTGAAATTTCATTGGGGGAGGGGAATGAGAATGTGATAAGGAAAACAATTGTCCAAAAAACTCCTTTGGCATACAAGAATTAAGAATAGGTTGAAAAACACTGCTTTAGAAGCTCTGATTTTATGTCCTTCCCCAAGGGGTAACTGCTATCCTGACTTGTGATAAGCATTCACTTGTTTCAAGCATTCATTTTATTTTCTATCTATAATGCATTCCTAAAAAAATAAATTGTTAGGTTCTTCAATTTATATTGATGGGATCAAAGTATATGACTCACCCCTTTCTCATCATATTTGTAAGATTAATTCACACTGTTGCATGTTGTTTTTGTTGTCTAATATTCCATAAGTTTCTATTTCATAATCCATTGTTGGATATTTGGATTGTTTATAATTTGGGGCTAGAATCAATAATGTAGTTTAAAAGGTTTTTATAAAATATATCTATTGTTATATACATGCAAGAGTTTCTCTAAAGCAGTGTGCAGTCCAATGAAAACATAATGCAAGCCATATATGTCATTTAAAATTTCTTAGTAACCATATTAAAAAGATAAAAAGAACCATAACATTAATTTAACATAATCAGTGTTAAAATTATTAATGAAATATTTTGTTTTCTTCATACTGTCTTTAAGACTTATGTATTTTACATTTATAGAATGTTTTATGCTAAGTTTTCATAAACACTTGATCTATGTTTCTATTTTATCAAATTTACTGTTGATAAAGTAAATCTGTATACCCAAATTGTTTGAAATACACTCTAAATTTTCCAATAATTAATTTGAGAATCGATTTTGAAATTTAAATTAATTAAAATTAATAGGAAATCTAGTTCCCCATTTACACTAACCACATTCCAGTGCTAGTGGCTACCATATTGGACAATGCAGATCTAGAGTATATAAACTTAGGATTAGAATTGCTAGGTCATAAAGTATTCAGATGTTCCACTTTTCTAGATCATGCCAAACAGTTTTTCAGAGTGGTTGTGCTAAGTCACATTCTCTCCCCCTGGGTGTGAAAGTGGAAGGCACATCACGGTGAGCTGAAGTTTATTTTTATGTTATGTATAAAAATAATACTAGTAAAACTGAAGTCTTTATGTTACTATTGAGGGCATATTTTATTTAAGGAAACAAACTTACAAATTAAAAAGGGGTCCTTTTAAAAAATATATTTTTTTATTAATTTCAGGGAGGAAGAGAGAGAGAGAGAGAGAAACATCAATGATGAGACAGAATCATTCATTTACTGCCTCCTGCACACCCCCTACTGGAGACCGAGCCCACAACCTAGGCATGTGCCCTGAGCAGGAATCGAACCATGACTGCCTAGTTCATAGGTCAACACTCAACCACTAAGTCAAATAGATGATGATAGATAGATAGATAGATAGATAGATAGATAATAGATGATAGAGAAGGTCACATACTCAGGTTGCGATTCCATCCCCTGTGGGGTGCGTACGTGTGTCTCTGTCTTCCATCCTCCCCCTCACCCGCCTCGTCCCCTTTCTTTCTCCTTTTCTCTCTCTTTAAAAAATCAATTTAAAAGAACATGTTAAAATTCAACCCATTGCCTGTTTTGTGTACAGGCCATCAGTTAATAATGTTTTTTACAGACAATCATGTACAATCAGTTTGACATTAAGGGAAACTAAACTTTAAGCCCTAGTTAAACAAAACGTTATCCTCCCAAAAATGACATTTTCCTCATCAGTAGACCTATATTACAAAAAAATATATACTCCGTTATTATGTTTTGAATGTTATCAACAAAATATTTGTGGAAAGTTGTTTTCTCTTGCTTTATAAGTACCCACATAGTCTAAAATATTGACTATCTGGCTCCTTACAGAAAAAATTCATGCTATCATGTATACGTTTAAACACAATCATGCTATATTTTAATAGAATCATCTAAAGAAAGTAACAAATCAGTGTGTAAGGCATCTTCATTATGCATAATGAAAGCACTAAAAGAAAAGGAATAGTATTGCTTAGAAATTAGGAACAAGGGCTCTGAAACCAAACTGCAAGTTGTACCATTTATTATTTTTGTTACCTCCAGAAAGTTACCTTCATGCACCCTCATTGTCTTCATCTGTAAAATGAAAATAATCATTATAATTTAAGTTCAAATAGTTGCTTTGGAAGTAACAGTTAATATATGTAAAGTACTTTAGAGTATCTGGGACATTTATTGACAGACACTAAATGTCTACCATTATTTTAATGGAGAAAAGAATAAACAAAATAAATGGTCATCTCTGAGTGATGGTATTATTGATCATTTTTCTTTCTTTTTTTAAATTATATGTGTGTGTTTCCTAATTGTGAACATACACTGGTTATATAATAACATGCTGTATTATTAGTTCTCTCTTTAAAACATTAATTTTAAATGTTTTACCTTAAAACATTAGTAGTAAACTTGGTTATTCAATAGCTACAACATGCAATTTCTCTTTTACTTTAATCTTTTCCTATAGACATGGCCCATGGACATGAACATGAGCATGGGCATGGGCATGGTAAATTGGTACTTCCAGATTATAGAAAATGGAAGATAGAAGGGACACCCTTAGAAACTGTGCAGGAGAAGCTGGCGGCACGGGGGCTCAAGGATCCTTGGGGCCGGTAAGAATCTTTAAATAATTTAGATAGAATTTATCGTAGAGAATCGTTATTTGCTTCTTTTTTGTGTATTTCCCTTTAAAAAAAATAATTGAAGATGGCTTTTTACATTAAAGTTTTAAAATCCGTTTTATTAAGTATCATTCACATACAGTAAAATTCACCCATTTTGAGTGTCTAATTCCATGAGTTTTGGTAAATATATAGAATTATGTAACCACCACAGTCATGTCATAAACTATTTCTGTCATCCCAGAAGTTCTCTTGTGCCCTTTCACACTCAGTGTCATCCTGCCCTGCTCCAGGCAACCTTTGATCGGCTTTGTGTCTCCACCCTTTCCTCGCCACCTTCGCTCGGCATACTGCTTTGGAGACATAGGCTCCCTGTTAGCTGGTATCCCTCGTTTCTTCCTTATTGACTGCTGAGCAACATCCTCTGTGTGCATAGACCTCATTTTGTTTGCAGTTCACCAATTAATTGTCATTTGTGTTGTTTCCAGTTTTTAACCGTTATGAGTAAAGATGCTATAACCAATCTAATACAAGTCTGAGTGAACATGATGTTTTCATTTCTCTAAGAGTAGGGTTTCTGGATCATATCATAAGTGTGTGATTATTTTCATAGGAAACCTGCCAAACTGTTTTCCAAAGTAGCTGTACCATTTTGCATTCCCACCAGCAATGTATGAGAATTTCAGTTGTTCAATATCCTCCTCATCAATACTTGGCATTATTGGTCTTCTAATTTTAGCCATTTTTGTGAATGTTATGCCTCTTTGTTATTTTAATTTGAATTTCCATGGTTTTATGAAGACATGATCATAACATTCTTTTCCAGTGCTTATTTGTCATTAGTGCTTTCCCCCTGCTCCCCTTTGGTGCAGTGGCTATTCACATATTTTGCCTATTTATTTATCAGGGTGTTTATCTTCTTTCACTGAATTCCTAGAGGCCCAGTGCACTAAATTCATGCCTGAGTAGGGGGTCCCTTGTCATGGCCAGTGACCAGGGCCAGTCAGAACCTTCTGGCTGCTGGCCAGGACCTCCCTTCTCCGGCTGGCAGCAGCCAGGGCCTTACTTTATTTCACACCACCCCCTGGTGGTCAGCACATGTCATAATGAGCAATCGAACTCCTGGTCTCCCAGTCAAACTCTCAAGAGGACACTTTACATATTAGCCTTTTATCAGATATATATTTTACAAATGTTTTTTGTTTTATTTTTTAATATTTCTTTTTAAAATATTTTTTTTATTGATTTCAGAGAGAAAGGGATCAAAAGAGAGAGAGAAAGTAGGGGAGAAACATCAATGATGAGAGAGAATCATTGATTGATTGCCTCCTGCACAACTCTACTGGGGATCGAGCCTGAAACCCGGGTATATGCCTAGACCGGACCAGGAATCCAATCGTGACCTCCTGGTTCATAGATCAATGCTCAACAACTAAACCATTCTGGCTGGGCAACAAATGTTTTTTCCTAAGAGTTTGGCTTATTTTTTCATTTTTTAAATAATGTTTTTCAAAGAGTTTTAAATTTTGATGAAGTCCCAATTTGGCACTTTTCTATTATGGTTTGTGCTTTTTGCACCCTCAGTTTTCTCCTGTGGTTTCTCTTACAAGTTTTCATAGTGTTACTTTAATATACTGTGAGGTGAGGATGAAAGTATTTTTGCATTTGTTGTTCCAGCACCATTTGCTAAGACTGTCTTTCCCATATTGGTTTACCTTAAAGCCTTTGTAAAAAATCAATTGACAGTATCTGTGTGGTCTATTTTTGGATTCTATTCTGTTATCCAGAATAGAATGTCCACCCTTATGACAATACTACAATGTCTTCAAATCAGGTAGCATAAGAGCTCCATTTTTTAAAAAAGCTATTTTAGGTTCTTTGCATGTATATTTAAAATTTAGGTTGAGTGTTTCAGTTTCTACAAAAAGCTGCCTTGGATTTTAATTGGGATTTCACTGAATCTATAGCTCAATTGAGGATAATTGATATCTTTTTAAAAAAATATATTTTATTGATTTTTTTACAAAGAGGAAGAGCGAGGGATAGAGAGTTAGAAAGGTTGATGAGAGAGAATCATCGATCAGCTGCCTCTTGCACACCCCCTACTGGGGATGTGCCCTCAACCACTGTACATGCCCTTGACTGGAATCTAACCCGGGACTTTTCAGTCCACAGGCCGAAGCTCTATCCACTGAGCCAAACCAGTTTTGGCGATAATTGATATCTTAAAACTATAGAATCTCCTAGTCTGTGAACAATTTAGATCCTCTTTAATTTCTCAGCAGTGTTTTATATATAGACCTTGTAATATTTTATTAAACCTATCACGAGTTTTTCCATATTTTAATAGTATTGTAAATGGTATTTTAAACTTTAATTTCCAGTTTTTTGCTAATATATAAAAATATAATTGGGGTTTATATATTGACTTTGTATCATGTTCCCTTGCTAAATTCACTTTTTAGTTCCAACATTTTTTTTACAGATTGTTTAGCCTATACTTCATAAGTGATCATTTTATGTACACTTGTTTTATTTCTTCCTTTTCAATCTATAAACTTTTAATTTCTTTTTTTTTTTTCATTATTGTACTGGCTAACACTGCTAGTATAATTTTGAATAGAAGTGATGTAAATGGACATTCTTGCCTGTTCTGCATCTATTGAGATGTTCACATAATTCCTTTATTCTATTAATATGTGAATTACTCTTAATGATTTTTCAAAGATTAAATCAATCTTGAATTCCTAAGGTAAATTCTATTTCATCATGATATATTATCATATATATATATAGTTGGATTCAATTTTCTAAAATTTTGTTAAGAATATTTTCATCTAGCCCTAACTTATTTGGCTCAATGGATAGAGCATCGGCCTGCAGACTGAAGGGTCCCAGGTTCAATTCCGGTCAAGGGCATGTACCTTGGTTGTGAGTACAACCCTAGTAGGAGGTGTGCAGGAGGCAGCTGGTTGATGTTTCTCTCTCATCGATGTTTCTGACTCTTTATTCCCCTCCCTTCCTCTCTGTAAAAACCAATAAAATATATATATATTTTTTAAAAAAAAGAACATCTGCATCTAGCCTTGACTGGTTTGACTCAGTGGATAGAGTGTTGGCCTGCAGACTTAAGGGTTCCAGGTTCAATTTCAGTCAAGGGCATGTACCTTGGTTTGGGCACATCCCGGGGGGGAGGGGGGGGAGCGTTGCAGGAGGCAGCTGATTGATGTTTCTCTCTCATTGATGTTTCTAGCTCTCTATCCCTCTCCCTTCCTCTCTTATAAATGAAATATATATATTTTTAAAAGAATATTTGCATTTTAAATAAAAAACAATATTAGCATCTATGTTCATTAGGGATATTACTCTATAGTTTTCTTCTAATGTCTTTGTCTGACTTTGGTATCTAAATTGTATTTGATTAACTCCTATTTTCTAATAAGTCAGATCTTTAGTTAAGTGGTTTTTGTTCTTCATAACATGATTTTTCCCACTCACTTACCGCTGCCTGTGAGAGAAGACCTTTTTCAGAAGAGGTCTCTGAGTTCTGTTTACACCTCTGTTTAGTGTGCTCAGAAGAATGATTGCCAGAGCAGGAAATCAGTCTTCTAAACTTCAGGCTGCTGTGATAGAGAAATTTATTAGTAGTAAGAATAATGTCAAATGTTACATACTCTCTGTGCCAAAATATATCACACATCACCCTTTTTATTCTTTATAACAACATTATAAGATAAATAGTCATCACTGAGTAGGAGAGGAAGCAGGCTCTGACAGGTTAAGTAACCTGCCCATCCTAAGAGGTTGTGAATCTAGTGTAAGTGTCAGGGCAAAGGTTAATACTCTCCCTCCGTCCACGATGCTGTAATGACTAATATAGGCAAAGCCACACAGCTGATCTGTGATGGATAGAGCCAAAGAAAGTCTTACATTTGAGGATCTTGTAGAAATCCTGAGTATTATGACTGTGAATATGAAATCAAGTGTTTTTCTTCTACTTTACATGTGAAATGCAGGCATATGGACCTAATTATCCTATGTCACTGAAAGATACCTATTGTTGTCCATTAGATGGTCTTATATAAGGTTGCATTTACATCTGTTAAAAAGATGAAAGTTAAATGTATTTTACTCAGTGAACGTGCATGTATGTGATTATAACCTTAGCTCCTTTTTTTTTTTTTTTTTTTTCCTAGCAATGAAGCTTGGAGATACATGGGTGGCTTTGCAGACAATGTCACCTTTGTTGGTGCAATGCTAAAAGGATTCAAATGGGGGTTTGCTGCATTTGTGGTAGCTGTAGGGGTTGAATATTTCCTGGAGTCCCAGAATAAAGATAAGAAGCACCACTGAAGATAATACCTAGAAGTATCTTAGTGACTTCTTAACTCTGTTATTAAAATAAGGTTTCTTCACTGTAGCCTACTCATCTGTGTGTTTGTCCCTTAAAGAATACTACTAAGATTTAATAAAGAATACATGTTCCATGACCTCACTCATTTATGGATAATAAAGAACATTATAAACTGATGAATCAAAAGATAGATATAGAGACGGTAACAACAAACAGACTGTCAAATTACAGCAGGGAGGGGAGGGAGATATGGGGGAGATAGAAGGACTTGTATGCATGTATATAAGTATAACCAATGGATACAAAACTCTGGGGAGGGAGGGTATGTATGGGAGTGGCGGCGGAGGGGGGGCAATGGTAAGATATGTACACAGATAATTCAATAAAATTAAAAAAAATAAAACAAAATAAACTTTCTGGGGGGTGGGGAGAGATACATGTTCCAGTCTGGTTTTGTCATTCTTAAAAAAAGGTATTTCAAACCATATCAGATCTGCTATAGAACATGTGGTCATTGAGGTACACGGAGCAGTGCATTCTCTACATGGCAGCTAGCCAGCATATATTTCAACAAATAAGTATGTTTTAAATGGACAGAGTATAAAAAAATTTAAATAGTGGTAAAATTTTCCATCTTAGCCACTTTTTAGTGTACAGTTGCTGGTATTAAATACATTCATAATGTTGTACAACCATCACCATCATCCATCTCCATAACTCTTTTCATTTAAAATTAAAAGTCTATGCCCATCTATCATAATAAAAGGAAAAATATGCTAATTAGACCAGACATCCTCCCTGGGGATGGGGGGATGGCAGAGGGGTAGACAGAGGGAAGCTGATACTGGTAGCTGGGGCAAGGAAGGCCTACTCTTGCACAAATTTCGTGCATCAGGCCTCTCGTTAAACAATAATTCCCCATTCCCCCTTAAATCAACACCTGGCAACCACCATTCTACTTTCCATCTCCATGATTTTGACTTCCCTATAAAGCACCTCATGGAGGTGGAATTACACACTCTTTGTTACTGGCTTATCTCACTTAGCCTAATGACCGACCCAAGTTTCATCCATGTTGTAGCATATATCAAAATTTCCTTTTTAAAGCTGAATAATATTACTATGGTATGTATATGTAATAATTTGCTTATCCAGTCATTCATTGATGGACTCTTGGGTTACTTCCACATTTTAGCTATTATAAATAATGTGGCTGTGAACATGGGTGTATGAACAGGTTTGTAAATGGAGGTTGGCCTTGCTGCTTTTACTATCTCCTGCAGGTGACTAGAGAGACCTGTACAGTATTATACTATTAGATACTTCCTTCCCAGTTCTGATTGACTATGTATCATGTTCATTTTTTTCACTCTTGATTTAGTCCTCTTTCCCATGTTGTAAAAAGTGACATTTTTTTCTAACAATACACTAGACATTTCCCCCACATTGAGTTTAAAATTTTTTAATTTAATCTCTAAAGTTGAGACAACTCGGATTGTTAAAAAGGGACTTTTTTTTTCTTTCTTTAATAACAAAGCTAAGCCCTAGCCACTCTGGCTCAGTGAATAGAGTGTCAGCCTGTGTACTGAAGGGTCCCCGATTCAAGCCACATACCTGGGTTGCATGCTTCTCCCCTGCCCTCATCAGGACATGGGTAGGAGACAGCCAATTGATGTGTTTCTCTCACATTGATATTTCTCTCTGCCTTTACCTTTCTCTTCCACTCTAAAAATCAAGGAAAAATATCCTTGGGTGAGGATTAAACACACACACACACACTAAATAAAATGTGTGATTTTTTTTCTTTGTAAATTTTAATTTGTAAATATAAGCTTGAGAAATTAAACAAATGAGAGGAATTTCTAATAAGCTGATAGTAATAAATAGAATATGGTAGAATGGAATAAAAAAAAGACAAGAGTTTAACAAGGAATAAAGAGAAGGAACAAAAAAGCGATAGAACACGTAAAAATAAGGTGGTAGATTTAAACTTAATTATATTAAATATAGCAAATGGTCTAAAATTTAAACTCTAAAACATTCCAATTAAGAGACATTGTCTTGCCCTGTCCGTTGTTAGAGTGTTGTCCTGATACACCAAGGTTGGGGGTTCAGTCCCTGCTCAGTGCACATACAAGAATCAACCAATGAATGCTTACAGAAGTGGGACAACAAATCAATGTTTCTCCCTTTCTCCCTCTAATCAATTTTTTAAAAAATGTATGGAGTAACTGCCTGGATTCCAGAGGAGCTGCAAAACACACAGACCACTGTCATTTTAGCTGTTGCCATCACTTGGACTAGAGCCAACTAATGAGAGATTTGTTCTGAAGATGTATGACCATGGGAAAATGCTATTTATGTGTTTGCTAGTCTCGAAATAAGCACTGTGGATGATTATATGTAAAAGTATGGCCCCATTAACAAAGCCCAAGATGGCATAGCTGGTAAGTTCCAGAGTTAGATTTTGAATCCAGGGTTGACTCAACAGCCCATAGTAAACACTATACTATGCTAACATGTCATATGTGATACATACTATAAAATGCTATAAAATTATTCTTTGGATTTTTTAATTTTTTGGTATGGGAAAAGTTATATTTACAACTCTTCTTTGTATAAATAATCTGGTATGAGATAGTTATACAATACAGAATAGACCAATTGAACACATTTTACACAACAAACATTCATAAGGCTGAGTATGAAGATTATAGAAAAATGCTAAAGTCAAAAGAACAATGGTCATAAAACTGGTTAAATATAACATCTTTTATATCAATAAGTCAAAGAAAAAGCTACTCTATATCCATAATCCTTATGTGTGTCAAGGAAAGCAATAGAGTTTAAAGAAATGACTGAACTTCAGGAGTTATAGGTTCAATTCCCAGTTCTGTTGCTAACCCCAGGAATATTTCCTGATCTATTAAAGTGAATCTTTGTGGGTTCTTAGTGTGTTCTGGGGAAGATCAGAGGACCTCGATGTGTGCACCAGCTAGAACCTTACGAGTTCAAATACATTGCAACCTGAAGTAGTAGTATGAAATCTTTAAGGGATGAGTCCAGGTTTTCCTTAGTTCCTTTTCTACAAAATGATACAATTAGTTGTAACTAACCATTGTCCTTTGGATCTTTACTAATTATGCTTGGTGTAATCAATAAGTGTTTTAAAAAAAATCTAAGGTATGATATGTAATATTTCATAAAAAGAGGCAATCATGACTACAGTAATTTTACTGTACACATATAAGGGAACTGTGTTTTGACATACCTAATAGAACAGATACACACATTTTTAAAAATATATATTTTATTTTATTTTTTCAGAGAGGAAGGGAGAGGGATAGAGAGTTAGAAACATCAAAGAGAGAGAAACATTGATTCAACTGCCTCCTGCACACTCCCTACTGGGGATATGCCTGCAACCAAGGTACATGTCCTTGACCAGAATGGAATCTGGGACCCTTCAGTCTAAAGGCCAATGCTCTATCCACTGAGCTAAACTAGTTATGGCAGGTTGCACACATTTTTTTTATGGTGACATAAAAGATGTGTACAAAGCCAGGCTGGCATGGCTCAGTGGTTGAAAGTCGACCTATGAACCATGAAGGCACAGTCCGATTACCCGTCAGGGCACATGCCAGGGGTGCAGGCTTAAACCTTAGTGTGGAGTATGTGAGAGGCAGCCAATCCATGATTCTCATCATGGATGTTTCTATCTCTCTCCCTTCCTCTCTGAAATCAATAAAAATACATATTTTTAAAAATTGATTTCAGAGAGGAAGGATGACGGAGAGATAGAAACATCCATGATGAGAGAGAATCATGGATTGGCTGCCTCCTGCAAGTCTGCCACTGGGAATCGAGCCTACAATCGGGGCATGTGCCTTTGACCGGAATCGAACCTGGGACCTTTCAGTTCGCAGGCTGATGCTCTACCCACTGAACCAAACCAGCGAGGGAAATATCTACTATTTTTAACAAAACTAACCTTCTTGAAGTAGATAAGTAGCTTAAGAAGATTTTTACCAAGAAATGGCTGGTGAAGCTAATACTGCTAATGCAAGAATGAGCAAACGAGGAAAATAACAGCGGTGCACTCTTTGTCAAGAACATTATCAGACACATACAATGATCTAATCATGGAAAAGAAGTCAAGTAAAAATAATAACCACCACCACCATCATCATCATCATCATCATCATCAAGAAGACCAAAGTATGAGCTTGGGCTCACTATCAGTAGTAAAATGGAAGCATCCATATTATATAAAAACTGCTGTTTGAAATTTTAAGCCTGCTATTTTGGCTTCTGTAAATGCTTGCTTGCTTAAATAATAAGGAAAATAAGACTACTCTCATTCCAGAGAGGCCGTGGACTATGCCCCAGGCAGAGCTGTCAGTGCTGACACCAAGCCAGGCCTTGAGATAAGGTCTCATGGCCCCTTCCCAGCACACAGGCCTTCTTTCCCAGAAGACCTGGAAGTCTCAGTCCAAATTTGGGAGACAAAAGAGCTAGAAAAGATATAAATAGAAAAAGTTTCCTCCATATGGGGGGTCTCAGAATTTGAAAGGCACATTTTTCTCTGGCCCTGAGCATAATAAAATGTAACTCCCTTTCTATAAACGTGGCTTGGTTTTTCTCCATTCTTCTGTAACACAACGAACCTTGCCCTCAGAGAGTATTGATTTGATATATTAACTAATGATAGGATATAGTCATCATGTTTAGCAAAACATTTTTTAAAAATGTTTCACCTTTGTCTTCTCTAATTTCTATATTTGTTTATTCTTAGTGTACATAGATGATAATATTTACATTTATAGAATGTTAAGACAAAGGTTGGGGTTTAATGTGATTTCTCCTCACAGTATTCAGTGTCATTAAAAAATAGCATTTAAAGAATTCACAGATTTTTAAAGAGTTTTTTTTTTAATGTATAGTTTACTATATAAAACCCAGGTAGGTTATAAGGAAAATTGTTACTTTATTTATTTATTTATTTATTTATTTATTTATTTATTTATTTATTTTTTATTGTTTAAAGCAGTGTTTTTCAACCTTTTTTGGGCAAAGGCACACTTGTTTCATGAAAAAAATCATGAGGCACACCACCATTAGAAAATGTTAAAA